AGCGATTGATGTCGTATCAATCTGTCGGGAAATAGTGAGCACAATGTCGCTGTGCAAGTCCCGTCGCTGAAGCTAAATAGATGAAGCTTCAGCGAACCCTCAACAATGCCTCCTTCATCGAGGCTGTGGCATATGTCTTTAGAAAGGCTATGATAACCTTGTGCCAAGTCTCACTAGATCTGAGCTTCACAGGGTCCTCCTGAGTACTTTTTAATATCAGTCTACCGGGAAAATAATGAGCACATTGGCCGATAGGTGTAGTTGATTTGGTCAAAATCTCTTTCAAATACTGTCAGGACAATCCAACCTGTCCGTTACGTCCTAATCCTCAATTCCTTTTGACTTTCAAACTCTAATCCCTTCTTTATGTAAGTTAAGCAATTATGAGTGTCACAAGCCAGTAATTTTAGATTTTTGTCCAAAATGTCTCTTTTTACGGACGAGTAAACATGTTGTCTCAGCTTTTTTGGATGAAATCCCAATCCAAAGAACAGGACGGATGTTGATGGCTGCAGAACATGCTGAGAGGAGATTTTTGTTTATTAGATTTCTTTGTAGTTGTCCGAACGGATAGGGATTGACAGTGTTACAGTAGGAGGTATTTAGTGGGTGCCAAAAGTCACTTTTCCTGACACAGGAAACGATGAAGATGCAACGCACAGAGGCTTACTGTGTTACTGTATCAGTCCGAGCAAGAAATTTTATTGGGACTAGACCACATTATTTTCCCCACAGACTGATAGTATTATAAAATGGCTGACTTTTGAAAGAATGGCGATATGAAAACTTTCACCCACACGCTTTTCCTTGCCATTTTGCCGCATTAATATGTATGATTAAAGACCAACGAGTTAGCCGCAAGCTAAATTATTTATAGCTAATCAAAAATCTCCAGCTGATTCTGTAAAATTTGCTCTGTACCTAAAACTGCTAACGTCTACAAAGTTTTGAATGCTTTTTTGAATTTAAGACAGCAATAATCTTTGTCCTGTTGTTCCGTCTCGTAACTTCGTGCTGCCTGTGAACAGACAGAGCGCTAATCCGTTCCAAAAACCGCTAAATAAACGAGATAAAAATATTAGCTTTTAATCAAAAGCTCTGTAGAACTACTTGTGCGGGGACAAAGAAATTTGTGGCTATATAAAAGGCTGATGAAAAAGGGTATCTGTTTTCACAGAATATGTAGATAATGGAAATATTGGCTGCAAATTCAATTTTTTTAAACCTCCGGATGTTTTTCGATCCAGTTCTGTTGTTACGTCGGCTCTGCGACTTCATCGGGAGCTTTGATACTCAATTTTTTTTTTGTTTTTTATGTTCCAGCCAGATTTTGTGCAAAGCGAAGGCATCTGTCGTCGTATATTCCCTCTACTTCCGCGGAGGATTGTCAAAGCGAGTTAGGGAAAGTTGCATAGGCTGCATGAAATTTTGATAGCTTGTGGAGCATTGTCAATCCTAGGCCCTGAAATAAATATCTCTGCGATTCCGCCGAGATTCCGCTTAAGGCCTTGACGGGGCTTTAAAACTTTTTCCCGATAAGCTGATGGTAAGGAAACAACGACATTTTTCCGGGTCATAGTAATGTATTGAGCCCCAGACCGGTTCCACCTTGGATTTGGGCATACTCTTGATGTCATGCTCCACATCCGTTTACAGTTCGTGACAAATTTGCCTTTGGTTCGTTACCATTCGTCAGACAGCTCTCTGATGTCTACAGCCCTTTTCTCACAGCGACGACAGACCTGCTGCCTTATGCATTCCCTACATACCTTTTATCCCGGAGCGCTTGTTTGCCGTCTGCCCATTTTTGAACAACCTTTTCACCGCGTTCAAAGCCGGACCCAATAATTTGCACCTTTTTTTTATACCCGAGCCTACTGTAAATTCATTAAAACAGTAAACAAATCGCGTCTACGCAATTGACTACGATGCAAATTCAATTAGCATTCCATGGTTCATTACGCGCTACGGCACATGTGAATATGGGCTGGTCCCTGACCGAGTTTATGTCTCATTTTGACAGACTTGTTTTCACATTTTCTTGTGAAATTTGACTGCGTTATCGCGGAAAAGGAGTCGGTTTTCAGCCGGAAAACAAGGATTAACAGACAAGACAGTGAAGACATTAGTATTGGTGCGCAAGAATATGAGGAAATCGGTCTTTATTGAGTGAATTTGGGGGCTGTTCTTTGATGATTGACCTTTTTTGACAGTAAGGAAGTTACAATAGTCTTGCAAATAAAGAGGGATTTTTAGGAGGCTACGACTTTTCGTCTGGTTCTAGGATAGCTTACCACCTGTTTTGAGGTATTTTACATGTACTCACACTAATAATATCTGGATGAAAGTTACACATGTTCGTTTTTGCCGCAAACTTTAGTCGTCTATGTTACAATATCTCAGGGTAAAGAAAGTTAACGTTAGTAATAGCTAAAATTAGAAAAAGGAACTCAAGTCTTCGCCAAGTCTCCGCCAAGCGTCCGCCGACCATCCAATGGATTTGCCAGGCTTCATAGGCATTTCCTACGACTTTTTGGGGTATCCATCCGCCTTGCGCCCCGTATCGATCAGTTTTGTTTCGGTCCGAACTGTCGTCTACTCGAAAAATGCGTCAGAAACAAAAATAGCATAGAAGATTACCGTCGCATTTTTTACAGCCTGTGGTCCTCTAAAATTGTTATAAATATTATATTTACTCACGTACACGTCAAAAAATTTCATTACCCACCCAAAGATTGAGTTTATAGACCAAATATTAACCTTGTGAAATCGCAAATTGATTTTTGGATGTTTCGCGAGTGTCCCTAAAAGGAAATTTGTTTATTGTTTTTCCGGCATCAAAAACATTTTTTGATAAACATACTTAAGGATTCATATTTTCCGCGCTTTTTCAACACTCGCGCTCGAGCTTTCGGGGAATTTCTGGCCCCGAACTCCGGAGCCTGGAGTGGTCTTTGTCCAAGTTGTCTCGGCGTTTGATAAAGAATTTATGATTTCTGGAACCGTCCGGCTTCGGTTCCGTGTTGTCTGGGAATTTATTTAGTAATGGTCTACAAACATTGTTAGATTTCTAATAAAGTTTACATTGGTTAAAAACCAACGTGTTTCCTTATAACCGCGGCAAAAAGCCCCTGGAATTTTCTGCGATACCGGTTCTCGACGGCTATGCGATTTTCAATGCGACAGAATGCTCATTATTTCCCCGACAGACCCATATTTGAGTGTATATTCTCTAAATTCCATTACCAAATTCAAATTTATTTGACGTCAAAAATTCAAAACATTTGACTTCAATTTCCCCGAACGCCCTTCTAATTTGGCGACACAGCTCTCCAAATACAAACCCCAAACTCCAGGCCCATCGCTTTTGTTTACACGTTTCGCGTGCTTCCAGATCTTCCAAAGTTTAGGGATGTGCACGTAACCGTTTTTTGGACCTTTTCGAAACAATCAAATGCCATTCAGAAAACTGTTTCGCAATTCCGGCCCGAGTTTTACCCATTCTGCAGGCCAGAGGTCATCAATTAGGAAAGGAGGGTGTTTATATAACAATATGCGTCAATTGTTAGTCATGGGAGAGACGGGGGGAGTTCTGCGTACTTCCAGGATTTTCTAGACAGTTTCCGGGGTTATGGTAGTTCCTTTGGGTACAGAAATTTTTGGGTGACGGTACCTACAAGGCTGTAATAAAGATTTAGGATATAACGGATGCAAACAACCTCCGTTTTACAAATTTCTAGGAGGAAAGAAGTTTTTGTTTAGATAGCTGCTTTATTGTGCAAAAATGATTTGTTTCTAAAAAATGGAATCCTGCAGCCTTCAAAATCATTAGAAAAATATTTGATTTGCTGCAATCAGCGTTGGAAGTTTTAAATTTCCCTTTATAAAGGATTGCAATCCCCGTTTCAACCTAAAATTTGCATTGAACTTGACTAGCTTCTCCTATAACAAACAAACCCTTCATTCCTTTGAAATGCGTTACATGAAATATTCAGTAACTCCATTTGTGCCCATTCTTTGTTTCGCTACTTTGAACTCGCTGTTGTTTACCAGGATTCCTTCCAGAAACCGTGTAATTTCATTTCCATCCCCGTGCAACCAGCTCTCCCTACATTTGCATCGAATTACCCGTACAACCCCAAAATTCGTGCGTTTTCCCATCCTTTTGTCCTCTTAAAATTTGCATTCTCTCATCCCTCCTTATTAGTCCACCGCATCATACATAATAAAACGGCGACGTCATCATATTTGCAATTATAATAGTCCGTTGTAATAACGAAGAACTGCAGAAGACAAACGGCTATTTTTAGAACGTGTGTTCCGCTTGTTTCGTTCAGGAAATTTCCTCATTCTGCGTCCACTCGGGGCCGCGGGGCGCGTCCCGCCGAGCACAGTGATGTCTGGGGAAAGGGGCGGCGCTTCCAGAAGGGACGACATTTTTTGGCGTCATCAAAACAGGCGGCGTCCGAAAAATCCGGCTGGCCGAATGTTTCATGAGTCAGATGCTCGGCTGGGAAATGGTGGTCGGGTGGTATAAAAGGATCTGAAGGCTGCTCGGAACTCTTCCGGCTGGTCCTCTTGACTTGCAGATTTAGGGGAAATCCCACTTGACTTTTTGAAGAGCTTTGGAAATTGCACTTGCTGTTGATGTGCCCTAGGGATTGTAGCTTACACTCAGGGCTATATACAGCCTATTCGGGGATTTGCGTGCCTTTCCTGACACTCCACTCAATTTCGGGGACCTACGGATATTGTACTTGACCTTTTCAAGATCTTTGTTTTCCCTTTGATCAAAAAGTGCTCCAAATTTACTACAGTAACCTTCACCCATCGTGCTCCCTCTTCGCGTCTTATATTTTACTCTAATCATCACTGACCTTGCGTCTTTCAAGATTCCCAGTCGCAAAAAACTGATTTCAAGCAAAGTCGCCAAAACGACGCTCTCACGACCAATCGCTGTACCCAAAAAGTACAGTGCCCCGTTTCTGCAGGTTCCCGTCATGTGCGACGTCTTCCCCACGTATGCGGATTTGTATCCCTACCCGTATTCGGAGCACCATCATTCGTGCACCTATTTGCCGACAACGTCGCAGCCCCAGGACGGACGACTGTTGTCCGTTGATGGGGCTTGGTCTTGTGCGCGTGCGCACTCGTTGAGGAGTAATGGATCAGAGTAAGAGAGCTGACAATCGTTGATTGAGGGAAAATTTGGTATTCAGAGACCTGTTTGGGGACATGAAAGTTATCTTATAGAAAATTGACAACATTTTTTTATTTTTTTTACGGCAAATCATGAAAAATGAATTTTAAGCTCAGTTCTAGAGGCTCGGTCGAAAACTACGCCCTTTCTTGTCAATATTTTCCTTCTATAAGGTCCAAATAGGTTAAGTAATCAAGAGTTCGATGAGTTTCTCTCCGCCCCCCACGCCACCCATGGGAAAATGAGGGAAACGATAATTAAACCCCTTTACATTAAGTGCTGAGGCGTTAAGTGCTATTCCGAACAAAAAATTGGCTATTTGCTGCAGCCAGAAAAAGCTACATAGGCTTCATTGGACGGTCTAAACATTCTTTTCTAACTTCAATTTTTCAGGCGCCGCCGCAAATTGGCCCGTGACCAATGGCCATTGACTGGCCACATGGACGACGATGATGATCAACTTGACGAGCTCTACGACTCCTCACAATCACCTTCTCCTCAGCCTTATTACCACAAGAATATTGCGCGAGGCGCGTCGCCGGTCAACGTGTTTCATCCGAATCCGGTGAATGCGGCGTCGAGTGGGATTTCGTCGTCCTGCTCAACGAACTCATCAACTAATGGCTATGCGCTGACGATAAATGGACATGAGAATTCGCTGTATACGAGCAACAACGAGAATCACGCGCCTTGTGACGTGTTCGAGGACGAGAAATTGAGTGGAAGTCAGACGGATCGGTGTGGAAATTTGTTGAGAAATCAGCAGATGAGGTCATTCAACGTCGACTCGCAAGGACGAATCGTTGATTGTGGATTCCGAAGAGGGCGACCAAGCCGGCCATTAACTAGTAAGTGGAACATAGGCTGCATTCTATCTAAAAACAGGATTTTTTGAATTTTCGGCGATGCTAAGCGTCAAAAATTTTGATTTTTTTATATAGGCTAAAACTCACAAGTTTTCTGTTAATGACAACATAACGTGTCATGTTTATTTTTACTGCTGAACGTCATGGCACCTGGTTGTATTATTTTTCGACCGGATTACACATGTTCACCTTAATCTTGAATTAGAAATCAGGCTTTTACGGGCCTGTTAATGGTCGGTTTTCTTGACGTGTAGAACATCCCAAAGGCCTGCATTATCAATGCTACATTTTACTAAGGGCCATTACGTACTGCATAGGCGCTAAAACGTTTTTTTGAGTAAGAAAAAAGCCCAATAAAGTAAAAAGAATTTTAATTGTTGACAATGAATAAGGAATGCGAGCGGCCGGGCCAAAACGGATTAGCCAAGGATAAGATGAGACGTTGAGATTACTAAGCGACCCATCGCAGGTACTAGAGTAGTCGGATTCATGTCGTTTCGCAAAGCGTTTGCCCGAATTCGAAGGTCCAAGCGCAATTTGAAAGCCACTAAATCTGCGTTTCCGCCGGTCATTGAGGAGGGCAATGGCTGTCAGAAATTGCTATATAGTAAGTTAAATACGGTATTAGTCGCTTGTGGATACTGTATAAAGACTGTTTATTTTGAAGACCTCTTATATGGCGGAAGAAATTCTAATTATCCTGAGCATATTTTCGCTTGACTTTTTTGACTTCTCGGCCTTATAATTCGAATAATGTAATCATGGAAGCCAAGGATCCATTTCCTCTTGCACACCAGCTAGTTCCGGGAAAATAACGTGACCTTGTTAAGCCAAACGCTACTCGAATTTCGACTCGTCTTTATAACAGGATGGGACGGGAAATTGGAGGAAAAGTAATTCGAATTTATAAGCAAAAATTAGGCGTCTAGGCGCGTTATACCGTGGCTAATGTGACTTGGGAATGAAAAATGATACGTCATAGGGATATTAGGTGATTTGATCTGTTTCACCATTTCTAATCAACTTTCCATTCCAGGAAACAACAAGACCCGCCGCGCCACATGCCCCGAGATCTGGCTAAGCAGCGCTGACGACGAATATCGACCGGTAACCCGGTGCGTTCTCCGCCTTTACGGCTCCCCGAATGTCGGAAAAAAGACGCTGGCCAAGCAGATGAGCGCGCACGCCGACATCACCGCCTGCACCGACCTGAACGGCATGGACTTTGAGGATGTGGGACCGGCCTCGACGATCGCCTTCATGATGAACGAAAACGAAGTGCAGCTGGAAATTATTCAAGGATCGGCGCTGGAGTCGGCCGCCTTCGAAGACGTGATGCAGATTTACATGGTGGTCTACTCGGTGGACAGCCGCGAATCATTCATTCGGGCGGCTCAGATCTTGTATCGTCTGCATGATACGAAACGAAGAGGGCCGAAGTTGCCGGTGATTTTGATCGGAAATAAGGTGGACCTACAGAGGAAACGAAGAGTCTCCTTTATTGGTAAGTTGACAGAAATTTTTCGGTCAAAGCTTGGACTGTAAATAGAGCACTTAAAAGATGAATTTTACCGCTTTTTTGGTCGTGACATTTTCATGGGTTCCTGAGGGAATGACTTTCAAATTTTCTCAAATTTTTCGCATACAAAATTCCACCAATTCGTTAAAATCTTAGCTCGTGCTTTGCAAGTTTTGCCGAAATTTGGTGCTTTAAAACTGGCCTACTTCATCAGTAGTTAACAACCAGCTAATTTCTCTATTTTCAGAAGGCCGAATGCTTGCCAAGATCTACAAATCCGCCTTTGTGGAGGCCAGCTCCTTGCTCTCGATGAACATGGACCAGGTTTGGGAGGAGACGCTTAAAAAGCTGCAAAAATGCAAAATGGCGCAGGAGCGTCAACTGCAATGCGAAGAGAAGGGCAAAGGCGGGAACCGACTGATGGGCCGCATCTTCAAACGCGGCCGACGATTTGCCAAATCTTGCGAGGAAATTGTCGCTCGTCTAGCTTCGTTGTAATCGATTGAACTGTAATCACCAACTAGTAGTCTTGTTATATCAACCAATTTTTTGTCTCAAATTGCCTTCAAGCCCGTTGTTAACCCATCATAGTAAAATATAATATTTATTCAGTTAAAATTTGAAAAAAATATTACACTCATTTCCGATATCAAACGGTGTGAAATGTATTCCGAATTGTAGAAAATGATATGTGTAAATATTGCAAATACCTTACATAATTTACTTAATAAACAATGAATAGAAAAAATATGTTTTTCTGCGAAAAAATGTCTATGCACTTTATGAAAATGCCAATAGATTAAACCAGTCTTCTCTCCGGCACCCAGACACTACAATGCTTTTGCGGGGTGTAATGCGCGTTGACCGGGCAGTTGAACGCCTCTCTGAAGGCCGGGAAATTCTGCACCGTTCCCATGACCCGATAGATGGACGGTGAGTGTTCATCCACCAAGATCTGCGTGTGCATTGCATCGGGCTTGGCCTCAACTTGACACCACACCTGCGCGAACGCCAGGAAAAAGAGTTGATCGTGCGAAAGACGGCCCAACACTGGATGCGGAAGCTGGGGCTCTTGGCCATTCAAATGGACATGGTTTTTGTAGGCACGGTACGCCGCATGGATTCCGCCATTGTCCGCAATGTTCTCTCCTTGTGTGTTCTCTCCGTTCAGCTTGGACGGCGAGTATTTGGAGGGATCCAACGGCTGGAAGCTTCCATATTGATCCACTATGCATTGAGCCATATCATCGAAGCTGTTGCGGGTCTCTGGGCTCAAACCGGTGCTGTTGCGCACTCCAATGCCATCCCATTGGATCCCTTCGTCGTCTGGAAGACAAAAATTTTAATTTTTAATTCAAATTGCACTAGTGAAAAATTTTTTTTTTCATAAAATGCATAGAGATTCTCCGCACCGTGCACAAAAAAGACCCCATTTTGCACAGTTCATTTCACTATTTTTTTTTGCGTTTCGCACTGTGCATTTAAATTATCGCAGCGAAAGAGGCCAGTTTCAACTACGTCGCCGCGGCGCCATCAGAAATTCGCACTGTGCAAACGGCTTTTTTGAGGGTTGCACAGTGCGAAAAGAGAAAATGCGCTGTGCGTTGGCGACAAGCGTGAGGAAGTTCAAAATTCACTGTGCGAAAGCAAAAAAATGCCCCTGCACTTTACGAAAATGCTACTAGTCCAGCCAAAACAAGAGCTCACCAAAAGCATGAGAAAGTTCATGACCAGTGATGACGCCAAGTCCACCATAGTTGACCGAAGTTGGGAAATCAGCGTGATAGAAGGGTGGCTGAACAATGCCTTCGGGGATTGTTAGAGAGTTGTAGAAGGGCTGAAATATATATGGGAAAATCAAGTATTGGAGCCATTCAGTGTAACAAATAGCAAGGGGACAAAAAATTGATTTGTTATAAAGAGGGTTCGTCGCAGGGAGGTTGAGTTTGACTCTTGAAACCTCTGAAATTGCCCGTAAAGACTTGCGGATTTTTTGGAATTTATCAGCCTATCTGGAAAATAATGAGCACAATGTTGCATTCAAAATCGCATTTGTGTAGCAACAAAATCAAATTGCTTTTCACTTCAACGACGCGATCGGCACACCGACATTGCGCTCACTATTTTCCCGATAGACTGATTGAAAGAAACCTCTGTATAACGAACCCACTGATATTCGAAAGGATCTTGTTTGATACTTCAACTCACCTCATACCAAGCATTTACTGTTCCCGGCCATTGAATGAAGTCATCTCTATAATCTTTCCCACCATCAGTCAAATAGAAATATTCGTGATGTTTCAAGTCGATTTGCAGTTTTCTCGTCGAATCAAAAAAGTCCGTCCCCGTAGTATAACTGCCATAGTACCCATCAAGCCTTGCATTATCCATGGAGAACTCCGGATACAGGATGTTCTTCTGGAGTTCGCTTACTTTGCCCTCCAAAAACCGTTTCGAAGATTTCGCCCAAGAAAGTTCGTCGAGCATGCCTTGGAATTGATATCGAATATTGTCGATCATCTTGTTCACATCCGACTTGGCCTTTGCTTTGCCCTCGGGCGTCTTGTACATATAATCTGCGAATGCTCTGCCATTCGCGTACATCATCATCATTTGCGTTTTTTCGCCGCAAATCTTCTCCAAATCCCGGGATTCGTCGATTTTATCGTCATTTGGAATCCATTCCTCATTTGCAAGAAGCAGTCGCATAAACAGGTAGTTGACAACCGCATCTTCACCTTCAAATTGTTCCGTTTCCAAGGCTTCAATGAATTTCCCGTATGTTTGGGGCCATTTCAGCGCAAGTTGATAAGTTTCATCCGGAGTCATTGATGTTCCGGTTAACCTTAGCAAAGCCTCCAAATAAAGGTCATGGAAGAACCCTTGGAAGTTGCGATCCAGTTCCGCAACAGTGTACTTATGACACGTGTACTTTCGCCTTTTTGTTTCGTCCGTGGCGAATGGAGCCTTGGCCAGTTTGAGTTCGATTCTTGCGAATTTCTCGACATAACTCTTTAGCTGCTCCTCGTCAGCATCACTCTCAGGTAAGACTTTTTGGAAGTTTTTCAGGACCTTGAGGATTTTTTCTTTGTACTTTTTCTCCTGCTGTTTCCAAGGCGCTTCCTGGTAGTAGCTCTTGGGCCAAACCAATGTAGCCTCGTCCAGATACAACATTTTGGGCGTGATCCCGGGCTTCGCGCTCCCTTCAACGGCATCGACTTCAATCGTCTGTGTGATGAAGGTATCCACGCCCTCGACAATTTGGAGATGAGCGATTGCTTCAGACCATTTTATCGTTTTCTCGGGATCATTTTGACGATCCTTGAAGAACATTGTGGGAATAATATCACCCAAAGCGGCTTGGAGCTTATTCACGATCTGGTTGATTTGAATGCCTGCTTTGATATTGTCGGGGAAGCTGTTTTGGAACGTGATGCATTGATTGTAGTATTCACGGAGCTTGATCAACGCTTTGGAGGGCTGAAAAAGTGGAAAAAATGTACCGAATCTCGATTGTGGCTGTTTATTGGATTTTGTGGCGAAATGTCAAAAAATGTTGTCCCATTTTTTTACTATTTTTCATTGGACCGCTTTTCTTTTGTTACAGAACGATTATAAATGAAGTACCTCTTGTAAAAAAAATTTCGCGAGATAGCTAAAGTTATTCTTGCGCCATCTGCGGCATGAAAAATTGCAGAAGAAAGTGTGTTCCAGTTTTTAGGTAATTTTATATTGCACTACCGACGTCTGTTTTCCTCATTTTTTGATTGGTTTTAGATGAAAACGCAGTGAAGACAGGCCGGCATGCTGGTTATGGCGCAAAATTACGAGTCAATTTTGTGATGCTCTACCAAGTGTAATATCCAAAGATGGTTGAAAGGGTAAGTTTTACTAGTTTTTTTGCATTTTAGGAGCTGCATTTGTCGCATGTATGCTTGCGGAGACGATTTCGAGATCGCTCAGAAGATTATTTTCTCCGCTCTCCTTACCTCAGACTTCACATCAATATTTTTGATCGCTTGTGCCTGATTCTTGTAGTTCTCGTTTCTCAAGACAAGGAAACTGACAGGCTTTTCGTACTTTCCACAGGCATATTTGTAGAAATCGTTGCAAGGATCGGCAGTCAAGTCCATCGAATAGTTGAAAAGGTCCACAGCCTGCTGATATGCTTTCAGCTGGCCTTCTGGATAGCTCCTGTCGATTTGTTTCTTGTCGCGGATGTTCGTCGTGGGAAGATTTGATTTGATTGCTGCAAGAAGTTGGCGTAGAATCGCTTCGTACGAAAATTCGCTTACCTCCAGCACCAGTAAAGACTTCGCACGGCTTTTCCTTCACATATCCGCTTCCAGCCGGACAATGGAAGGCCGATTGGAAGGCTTTGTAATTCTCTAGCGTCCCTTCTACTCGATATCTCGATGGAATTGCTTTTCCCGTAATCAATTGGCTGAATATCTGACTTTCTTTTCGATTACTCTCGCAGTATTGTCGAGTATAACCCAGAAAAAATGTTTGTTCAGGTCCAAGTTGTCCGAGTAAATTATCGTTGAACCGTAAGTCTGCGCCGAACTCTCCTTCAGCCAGTTGATAGGCGGTGTAAGCCACATGGATCGCTAAAAATTCAAAAGATGTTATATAGGTAGGACCAATTACCGATGTTATCAGCAAAGTTTTCTGGGACTATCTCATCGTTGTTTATGCATCGTACAGGGTATCCTTCCTCTATTACCGGACAGAATTTGCTGTATTGGAGCTTCAGACATCTAGTCAATTCTTCGAAAGCGTCTTTCGAATCCGTCCAGTCACTGTAGTGTCCAAGTTTGTCCAATTGAATTCCGATTGCGTCTAGAAACGAAACGATTGAGATATACTCAGCGTAAATTTACCTAGCGAGTGGGCTAAAACATGAGCAATTCTGATGCCAAGTCCGCCGTAATTCGCCGATAATGGGTAGTCAAAGTCAAAGAAAGGTGCAGAAGCTGCTCCGGCTGGCACAGTCAGCGTATTTGTGATGTAGTTGTAGTATGGAGTGACCTGAAATGAAGCTACAGACGTTTCTTATGTGCTTACATGACTTGGACTTTCATCGAAACCTCGTTCCACTGAATTTTTCAACAGTTTCGCCAGCTCTTTGCCTTTTCTAAACTGCGTCTGCGCTAGCCAATAATCTCCGAAAGCCTCTCTGTCGGAAAGATCAGGGTAGCCTTCAAAATATTCCTTGATATAATTGTCTTGGATGATTTTCGTATCTCCAATGGCATTAATTTGAAGATTCTCTAACTTTCCAATTGCGGCATTCTTTGCCTGCTGAGAAGCCCAGGTTGTTTGCCGAATATGAGTTAATAGTGAGTTTATGATGGCATTCGTCAGCCTGGTGACGTTCTCTTGGACGTCCTTGAAGGCAATTTCATTTCCTTCAAAGTAGTATTTGGAATGCAGTGGGCCAAGGCTTCGAGTTTCCAATGCGCAAGAGAGTGTGTTCAGATCTGTCGCCGGTAAATTGTCATTCAGTCCATCATGAGGTTTCTTCAGAAGAATGTGACTGAAAAATTGAAAGATTAAATTATCAGAGCATCAAGGACTTACCGTATGCCCCACAGCAACTTGAAATACAGGTAGTTGACCATATCTTCGGGAAGAATTCCGGATTTTTCGTTCTTCCACGCCTTTAACGTCTCCCCAAGTCCAACTGGATTCATAATGCTCAATATGAATTCATTATTCAGAACCGGGGGTTTTCCGGCTTCTTCAGTTATAACCTTGGATCTGACAGCAGATGACGCCGATTTCAGATACTTTTGGAAGAGGACCAGCCAGTCAAAGTCTGGGTAATCATTGGTTAAATTGGCTGCAAATTGAATATTTTGCCGGGTTCTCATAGTCCTCTTTCTCTCCAAGGAGTTTGAATAGGTCGACAAAAGAGCTTCTAGTTTGTAAATTTTCTCGGCGGCCTTATCGTAGTCAACATGAGCCGCAGAGATTAGTTTTCCATAGGCTTGCAAGACTTGTTTAATCTCATTTGTTACCCAGCCCTTTGTTTTCTCCTGATATTTGGTTCGATATATTTCGGCAGGGTGGGATAAAGAGGCCTCGTCAAATTGAAGGAGATAAACTGGATAAGCAAATTCTGTTGTCTCTAAATTTGGCTCGATGTTGATGTCGATCAAGCTACCAATTCCAAAAATCCCATTTAACGCGCCAATGGCTTTTTCGAAGAAGTTTTCTCCGATAACAGATGATTCAGTTTCGAATAATGTGAAATTGGTGTCAATCTCCTCGGCGAACCTGTCAACGATCAATGTCACTGTTGATTTCAACGCTTCGTTGTCTTGTTGCCGCTTTAGGCATGAGCTATAATAATTATTGATGATCTTCTTCTCTGGGATATCAACGTTTCCGGATTCCAATGCCTTTACAACCCGACTGGCCGCAAGTCTTGTAGCCGCCTGCTCGTCAGTTTCTGCTCCCTTTATGAAGTTGCTGCATACATAGTCATAGAAGTTGTCACATGGACTTTCATCCACGTCAATGGTTTGAAGTAGACTAGTCTTGACTTCGTTGAACTTTTCGCTGTCTTTGCTTTGAGCTGAGGGAAGATTGGCTGGCGCTAATGTTGTCGTTGTAGGAGGAATTCCAAGAGCTGAAAAATCCGTTTTACATGGAATTAAGATGACCTACATGGTTCGACATCGCTGATCCAGACGTCACAACGCTCTTCTGGTGCATATTTACTTCCGATTGGACAGTTGAATGCCTCTCTAAACGCTGGGAAGTTCTGTAATGAGCCGAGAACTCGGTATCTTCCAGGCGGATGATTGTCGTTATATTCGGCCAGCGGGGTATTCTGATCACACCACAGCCTTCCAAAGGCCAAGAAGAAAAGCTGATCACTAGTGAATTGGCCGATCAAATCATTGGGAAGTCGGGGAGAGGCGCCATCTCGCGAAATAGCATTTCTATACGCTCTGAAGGCGGCTTGAATTCCACCATTGTCGGCGACATTTTCTCCTTTGGTTTGGTCTCCGTTCACGCAGTTTTTGTCTTCGCAGAAGTTGTTGTACTGGTTCACAACACAGTCAGTCATGTTGTCGTACCTTTCCTGGCTTTCTTTGTCGATCCATCGCCCCATCGCTCCAACTCCGTTAAACTGACTGCCGCTGAAGTCTGAAATACGCGGTAAGTTTCTCGGAGCCTATGATTTTACGTACCAAATCCATGTCCGATTTCATGACCAGCCAGAACTCCCAATAATCCGTAATTCACCGCCGCAGGCCATTCCCTATCGTAGAACGGAGCCTGGAGAATACCGAGCGGAAGGGTCAAGCCGTTTGTGATCGGATAGTACCACGCATTCACTGCATAAGGAGACCCCATGAATTTGTGCCGATCAAACGGAGTTTCTTTGAATCTTTGTCGCATTTTCGCAAGTTCCAATTTTCGAACCAAGTAATCCACGCGTTGAAGAATTTCATCATCTTTGAAGTCGACTTCTTTGTAGTACTCATCGACGGCTTCAAAACTTTGAGAGAGTTTAGTGAAGGCAATGTTTTTGACGGCGTTGTCAAGTTTTGAGATGGCTTGCTAAAAAAACAAATTTATTATATGGATATACGGACTGGCGATGATTACCTTTCGACTCTCTTTTGTTATCCAACTAACTTGATCTATCATGCTTCGGAAACTCAGTAAGACTGTATCGGCGATCTTGGCAACTTCCAGCTGGAGTTGTTGTTGCGCTTTCTGCGTTGGTAGCTTGGACTTGACAAACATAGCGCTTGCTATCTCTTCAAAATTGAATATTGTTTTGAAAAGACAAGTTGTTTCATCTTCTGTGAATTCTTTGCCTTCATCCGTCATATGGAAGGGAGTGTCATCATAAGTTGTGATTATAGGGATTGATGGTGCTTTTCGAGGTGAAATAGTTTCCATAATGCTTCTCGGCTTTGGAGGATTTGGCAAGAATTGGGCATTGAATGACCTGATAGCGTTGAAGTAGAAATAATTATAGAGATCATTAGGTGTTACTAGTTTTTCCTTCATTGCGTCATCAAAGGCCAGGAGTACTGTATAAAGTTGTACCATATCTCGGACGTAGACTTCTTGCTTTGGATGCAAATATTTTGGCCAAAGGTCAGGCGTCTCGAAGAGAACTCCCTCCACAAAGCCTCGGAAGTCAATGGACGTTGAGAGTTGCTGAATCTTCCTCACAGGGTATGCCACAAACGATTCGATGAAATCTCGGGGTTTTGTAGCGTTAACCTGCATTCTGGAGAACACTCTCTTCTCTAGCCTCACAATTTTTGTCGCTGTCTTCTTTAATTCCTCTTGATATTGGTCCGCATCTTCTGAGTAATGTTTCAAATACCGATTGACACTCCTCATGGCACTCTCGACAATCTTTTCTTCGGTTAAGTTGAGTTGCAATTCAATGCCATGTAGGAAAAATCCTCCGGACATTTCGAACGCCAGACCTTTCTCTGGATGTTTGTAATTCGCATTTGCAACAATCGATATCAAAATTGAATTGCCAAATTTGGAGTATTGATATCCAATGGCTCTTCCAATGTCATAAGCACTCGGATATTCTGCGATCTGTTGTTTGTCTCTGAGTGGGAAGGGCATCTTTGAATAATCAGCAAATTCCTTTAGGATTTCATCAATAATTGTGTCGTCTCGTCGTGGGTTCTCAACCGAATTCATGCACAGTTTGAAGAATCGTTTTGCCTTTTTAACGGCAGCGGGGTCTTCTTCAACAAGTGGCTTCTTGATCATTCGGTAGATATCAGCCGTATACTGTCGATAGAGCGGTCCGAAGTTGCTGACGCCAGTGAAACGGTTGCAAGTGTAGTTATAAAAGTCTTCACATGGATCAAAGTTGACATTGATGGCCTCAGCGAACTGGTTGGCGCATTCCTCGTACTTCGGGCTGTTTGAGGTGGGTTGGGAGGGAATGTTGAGATTCGGTTTGAGTTTTGGCAACTCTGGGACTCCAATAACAGCAGTTGCTTCGGAGGTCCACAACTGAAATTATTAGCGTTGTAAGATTAGGCGATGATAAAAATTTTCTTCTAACGACAACTTAAGACAACTTACGTCAACTCTATTTTCCGGCGCATAATTCTGAGTGCTGTTACAGTTAAAAGCCACTTGGAAAGCTCTTCTATTTCCAAGGTGTTTTTGCAGGTAGACATTGTTCTTGAACAGCCCTGTTGGGTCTTCTTTTTTGCAGTACTTTTGCGAATATGTGTAGTAAAAAAGCTGAGAGCTGGACAACAATCCCAAAAACTCGTCAGACAAGGATCCGTCATCACCATGAACTAACTTCCATCTTCTCAACGAAATCTCAGCCAAAATTAAGCCAGTGTGGTCGGCGATAATGTCATCAAGCAAGAACTTTGCTTTTTCGGCGTCGGAGAAATATTTCAGCAGTTGGCTGAAGATTTCATTCAACTTTTGTTCGCTTTCCGGATCCAGCAGTTGATTCAGTTGACCGTATTCGTCGTGCTCGATTCCTTGGACATCAAACAAATGGCCATAGGCTTTTCCAATCTCATTTGCCAAGAAAGCGAACGTCCATGTCTGCGGATTATTCTCGTCGTAAACCGGACTGACTAGATAGCTTAAGGGAATGTTGATCGAGTTCAAATCTCTCTCAGTGTATACTCCAAAGTTAACGAGAGCGCTGTGGGTGTTCTCAAAGTCAACTCTTTGGACGGCCTTCTGAGTAAGTTGGCGGATGGATTGGACCTTTTTAAATTGCGATACTTGGACATACCAGCCGATAATCGTGGAAATCTTGGGCTCATCGAGATCTTCATATGCTTTCGTCAACGTTTCGTCGTCAAAAACCCAATCTGGTGCTCCAATGTTCCTTGCAGCGCCTTTGACTTTCCTCACGAGCTTTTGTCTTGTAGCCAAAGGGGCCCAGGAAAGGCCATTCAAGAGATTTTCAAAGGTTAAGCCGATAGCTTGCGTTTTTTGAGCTATCTTTTCCTGCTGCTTCTTGAAGTCCTCTCGAGAGCCGAAGATGCCATCCAATGCTGCTCGAGCATATAGTGGAGGCAATAGTTTGTGAACAACATCTGTACAGGCTTTTTGGTCTTCTTTAACGACTGCAATCGGCGTTTCATGTAAGGATGGGGCAATTTTCGTCATTAACTTGGAACCTAACGCCAAAAATGTTTGATACTGCAGAAGTATTCGAAGATACAAGTAGTTGACTAAATTCGCAGAAGATTGGTTGCTCTCTCTCACGGCAGCCAACGACTCTAAGCTCTCAGTAAAAGCCAAGGAGTCTTGCAGGACAATCTCTGTTTTTCCATCAAGCTGGTCTTTCACTTTCAAATCGGCCAGTTCCAGGATTCTTCTATATTCGTTGAAGTGCTCCTTGAAAGCAAAAGCTTTAGCATACGATAGCTTGTTTAGGTCGTCAAGCGAATACTTTCTCTGGCTTGCAGTCCGACTGTTGATTTTGGTCAGAAATCCTTGAGAATAATCGATCTCAGCTAGGGAATTCTTAAGGTCAGCAACTGAGACATCAGCAGTTTCTGTTGGGTACAACTTTTGCAATGTTTTTAGCAAAAGCTCCGCTAGGATGTCCTTATACTCGGCGTAGACTGCTCCAGAATTGTAGACAGCTTTTTTGAAAATGGCATCGGGTGCTGAGATATGGAACAAATACGGCTTTCCAACGAAATTCCTTTGAGTATTCGGTTGTACGTCAAGTTTGTATACTGCGTTGATTCCATGGGAAAATGAGAGATGCGAGAGGGCTTTGGCTAGCTGTAGATCAGAAAATGCGACCTCCGTCAGCTTGTTAACCAATGGGAATTTAAGTCCAATGAGTTGCTCGAGGTCTTCAATGGCTTTCTTCACATCTTCGCTAGCATCACTTCCACCGCTCTTGCAAGTGTCGTGAAGAGCCTTGGCCTTCTTCAATGCACCCTAGAAAGGGGGTACGGGTTCAGTCAGTGTTTACTTACCGTAACATTTCCCTGTAATTTTTCTCTAACGGCTTCATCGACTCTTTGCGTGGCTTCGAAGATAGGATCGATCTCTTTTCCCCCTCCACAAGCATATCTATGGAAGTCGTTGCAAGCCTGCACATCTAGGTCCAAATTTGCTGACAGTTGAGTAGCGATCGACTTGAATGTCTCGGTTTTGTTCGCCAGTCGATCTTGGATTTTCAAGGATGGCTCTTCCTTTGGGACAGCGGGGACTCCCCGGGCTAAATTACGGCATTTGTTGTTTCAAACATGTGATTTCTTTTACCTGGCTTGACATCCGAAACCCAGACGTCACATTTCTCCCCTGGCGCGTATTTTGAGCCGATGGGGCAATTGAAGGCGGCTCTGAAGGCGGGGAAATTTTGAAGAGATCCGATAACTCGGTATTTCGATGGAGAGTGATTGTCCACCAACATAAATTGTTTTACATCATCGTCGGTTGGTGCATCACACCAGACCCTGGCAAACGAGAGAAAGAAGAGTTGATTATGAGTAAATTCTCCGAGATCCGGGTCAGGTAGCCTTGGATCTTGTCCATAATATTCTTGATATGCTTGGAAAGAGTTGAAGGCGGCGCGAACGGCTGAAAAATTCGTTATTTCATTGATTACCTATTTAAATTACCTCCGTTATCCGCCATGTTTTCTCCGACAGTCTCTCTCCCATTGATCGCCATCCCTTCCAACGGAATAAACTTTCCATACTGCCGGCTCACACATCCTACCATCTCGTTGAAAGCGGTACTCGACTTCTCATCCAGCCAATTACGTAGCCTTCCAAGACTATCCCACTGAACTCCAGCGTCATCGAAGGCGTGAATGAGTTCATGGGCCGCCAGATGGCCAATACCTCCAAAGTTTACCGCAGCCGGATAGTTCGGATCGTAGAAAGGTCGTTGCAGAATGCCATAGGGATATGTAACCGAGTTCCAACGGACCTCGTTCCAGCCATCGATATTTACAGCCGAAATTGGAGGCCAATCTGTGCGGTCGTAGTCATTGCGCAATAGTTTGTTCCAATTGTTTCTGTGGTTGAACAAACGAAGATTTCTCTCGAGTTCTAGGAAAGTTGGAGCTGAAAAGTACAGCTATTGATCAATATTGGTCAATTACCTTTTGTATCCAAAAATTCGTGGAATTTGTTGAGCTTCTCATCATCGTCTAGCCAGTCGGCGTATCCGATGTTTCTGTTTACGTACTTCAACTTCTTATTAGCTTCCAGCTTGGCTTCAGGAGACAGCCAGTCGATTTCAAGGAGTTGGGTCTAAAATGATATTCTGGATGGCTATCAAATCTTTACCTGGAATCCCGCAACAGCTTGCGAGACAATAGTTCCAATCTTGTCCTTCAACTCCACCCTCTTTACTCGGTTCGGCTCCACTGTCTCGACGAAGATTCGGCCGGCAGCCTCCGGCAAATAGCTATTCAATTTCCTCAGGCATTTCAATTGCAGTGCTTCGTCGTCGTTTTCCAGCGACCCAAAACTGTCTTCCTTAGGGAAGTAGTCGGCGACTCCAAGGAGAAACCGATAGTTGATGTAGTTGTAAAATACTCTGGGGTTTAAGGCAGTTTTGAGGTAGCTTGTCAGACGAGCAAAGACGTCCGGTTCCATGAGGACAAATTCGTAGGTCGAATTGGTTACTCGGTTGGTAATTGCGGTTTGGGTTTGCTGGGAAATTTGGGAAATGTACTCCTTGAAGTCAACTAGCCCGTTGTTTTTCATTTGCTCGGCAGTTCGGAGATTGTAGGATCTAAAATAAGAGATATCCATAAAGGTTCATTGAGCAATATGCATTTTTTAAAAGCATATTCTTTTAGGTCTATCTGCAGTAAAAATGATGATAATAAAATTGACGTACCTTCCAAAATTTTTCCTGCTCAATGCCGCAGCATTTATTTCCAGCGCCAATTGCTTTTCAAATTCCACTGCGTCATCAACATCTTTCTCCAAGACCTCTTCGCCCACTGTGGCCTTCAAAATTTTTGCGGCTTTGTTCACCAAGTCCTTGATATCTTTCTTATACTTGGGCTTTGTCTCGTCCCAAACAAGACTGTAATACCTTTCCGGATAAAAGGTCTTTGACTGGTCGATAAACAGCTGGTAGACTGGCCTATGATGATGCGGTGGGTTGAAAGGTTGAGGCCAAACTGTATCGATCTGATAATTTAGAAGAGTTCGGACTTCATATTGATGAGTTAAATAGGCCAAGATCTGGGCCATTTCAATGGGAGATGGCAGAGTGTATTCCGAAGACGACGATAAAGTTGGGAATGGGAGATTTATCTTCTTGGAATTCTCTTTGAAGAAGTTTTGAATCGTCTCAGCGGACTTTGGATACTTTTCTGCTTTCTTTTCTGCCTCGTAGCAAAGGTTAAATGCAGAACGAAATTTAACGGCATAATCGTTGTTCTAAAATCACAGAAATCTATATTATAAGCCGCTGTAACACTTACATTTGTTCCTTTAACTCCTTTCAACAGATTTTTAAAATTTTGGTCAATCAGTTGCTGGAAACTAAAGCCTCCCCTCTGCGTGTTGGCACATGTATATTCATAAAAGTTTTCGCATGGATCAAATGCAAAATTGACATGCGTTATCAAGTCATCAGCGTAGCTCTTGAATGCCGGGTATTTCGAATTCTTCGGATCAATTGGCTCGGCAGGTCGGATGTTTGTCCCGCCGTTGCTTGGCGGACGAGTCGTTGTTGTGGTTGTTGTTGCTTTTGTTGGATGGGTAGGAGCTGAAATTTTTTCTTACTTTCTTATCGCTGCGCCGATCGTGTTGCTGAAGTGAAAAAAAAATTGATTTTGCCGCAACTCAATTCATTTTCTCGGCGGCGATGCGATTTTTCGATGCGCTCGTTATTTTCCCGACAGACTGATAATAGTGCCTTCTGACTTACGAGTATCCGGTTTCTCATCATCTGGAACGGGTGTTGTTGTCGTCGTTGCATCTGCTGGCGTTGCACTTTGCTTATTTCCAACTTTAAACAACGTCACGACACTCACGAACAGAATGCCAATAGAAAGAAACAAAATAATGCCCAAGGCGACGGCCTTGGCCTTGTCCAGCCCCGAAGCCATGATCCTTGGACACGCAAAACCGAATTCGTATCTTCGACACAAAGCAAAATGAGGCCTAAAAGTACGAAATTTTGGTATAAATCAAAAGGTAGTAAATGCATCAATTCGTTTTCGGCAGCTCATTTTAGCTCATTAATTAGACGGCCGCTCCTTGAAAAGCAGCTTAAAGTGTTCCACGGTGAAATGCTAATAAATTACTGTTTGTTTCGTTCCGGATGCTCTGCGGATGATAACACACCTTTATCAGTTGTAACAAGCTTCCCGCCCACAACGGCCGGATTGTCATCGTTGTCCTCAGTGCCAACCACAAAGTAGAAGCAATGTCTACACTGCGGATAAAATGATGAGAACTCGCTACATCGCCGTCTCATGGCGGATGTTTCCACATATTTCTCATCAATATTTTCCCTTATCATGACTATGCATCCTCTTCGTAATTGAATTCGTCTCCCAACTCTGGCTTATCATCAGGGTTTTCAAGCCATAATGAAAGTCAAAAAACTGTAGTCTTCACTATAATTGTTTTATGGTTTGTCTGATTGTGCGTAGAATTTATACATGGCGTCCGGCCTTAGCCAAAGCCAGTTTAAGGGTATTCTGGCTTGCAGTTCCTGGTGTTTAGATTGCTTTGTTTGTCCGCTCAAATGCGATCATTTTTACTAATCCTGGATATCAGTCTGTCGGGAAAATGATGAGCGGAATGTCGCTGCGCTGATCGCGTCACTGAAGTGAAAAGCAATTTGATTTTACCGCGACACAATGCATTTTCTCGGCGGCGATGCGATTTTTGGTGCGAGAGCGCTCATTATTTTCCCGACAGACTGTTAATTTTCTATCTCTTTACACAAGCGAGAAGCTTTTTTCACAGGTCAATCCAAATTTGACGAGCGACGCTGGCGAACAAATTCTCCCCTGTCTGACTTATGTCTCGAGTAACATTTTTTTCGAATTCAAATTAATATCTTTCTCATCAGATGGCATAATGCCTTATAATGTGTATTATATATTTCAGTAGTTGAGTTGAGAATGAAATTAGATTTTTTAAGCGTTTAATAACTCCAAATACATTAGCGTAGAAGGCTACTTTTCGGCGTTGATAAGAAAGAGGTGCGGCCGAGGAAGCTGCAACGGCGGTTTACGCCGCTTTAGAGTGGCTTAGATATTAAAGTTTTTCTGAATTAATATGTGACAAATCCCGCGTGTACACGTGTGTGCACAATTTAATCACAATCTGCTTTCCGCAATTGCTTTACGTCCCTTAATTCCATAATTTCTCAATGATCGCATGATCTCACGAATGCTCAGAGAAGTAAGTATCAGTTTTACAAAGTACCGATTCCGGTTCGTTAAACCAAATTAACTTCCGACATCGAAAGCGGAAATTTGTCAGCACATGGCATTACGTTTCAATGGATAGACTCCTTTCTCTTTTTTACTCCATACAAGGGCTGAATTTTGGTCTTATATGTAATACTCCACTCAAGAAGTCCTGAGAATTTGAACAATGCGGTTTTGGGGTGTCGCTGCGAAAATCACGAAAATATGTAGTGGTTTGCACAGTGCATTTTCACCCAAAAAACACCATTTGCACAGCGCATTTTCGATTTTTTGCCTTACGTCGCGCGCGATTCCTATTTTTCGCCGCGACAAATCATTTTTTCGGAGTGCGACAGAAACAGCGCACGGTGTGGAGACACAAAAAATTCTCAAGCCTTTTTTGGACAAAGCAGCATCAGTCCGTCGGGATTTGTCGGGAAAATAATGAGCACAATGCCGCTGAGTCAATCGTGTCGCTGAAGTGAAAGCAATTTGATTTTTCCGCGACAATTCATTTTCTCGGGGGCGAATTTTTCAATGCGACAGAGCGCTCATTATTTTCCCGACCGACTCCTAAGTATAATATTTTATGACCTCATAAGCCTCGCTTGCGCCTAAACTGCGCCAACTCTCTTCCAATAACCCTCATCTCCCACACAGATTCCAATTTCCGGGGCCCCTTGAACCGTCTTTGTTACAATGAATGAAATTGGGTCCAAGTAGGGATGCGTCCAAATGAGGAGAAAGACGCAGTCGGTTTCACTGTCCTTCTGGGGGTTTCGGACGGAGAAATAAAAGCTTGAAAGCTGTCTGTCCGTGGCGCACGAAGATAGAAAGCCTAAGATATTTTACTTCAGGGCATTGGGACTTTTCAGCGCGATATCTTCCGTCTGGCCGTTGGGGTAAACGGGAAGAGCCGGGGAAGTTACTGATCGCTGGATTTGGAAGAAAGAGTTGATTAGTGGTAGTTGTTTAGGGTATCAGTCTGTCGGGAAAATAATGAGCACCCTGCCGCATCGAAAATCGCGTCGCCGCCGAGGAAATGAATTGTGTCGCGGAGAAAATCAAACTGCTTTTCACTCCAGCAACACGATTGGCATAACGACATGGTGCTCATTATTTTCCCGGCAGACTGATATTTTGACGGATTTTGGCAGTTGGGTTTTGGAAGCAGGATGTTTTTGTCGAGCGAATTTTCGCGTCGGAAACAAGGCTAACAAAAGATTTTCTTTTGAGATTGCCCGAGGCTATTAGACAAATTTTGAAATTTTGCAGACAACTTCTGTTTCGACTAAATACTGATTTCTCAAATTTTAGAGCCTTTAAAACTTGCAAAACGCTATGTGAAATGGGCAGAGCGGTCAGAGGAAAAGTTTTTTGGTCCTATCTTTGCCAATTTTCCACTGAAAAAATTATTTTTTTTTTTGTAGAAAAGATGTTTATCATACTTGAAAAAATCTCAATTTTAACGGCTTAGCTTCGACCTTAAAACTGAAAGTTTTTTTCAAATCCCGAGCATGTAAAAGATTAATTCTTACTCAGCCATTCTTCAGAGACAACTGACTTTTCACATTGCTGAAACAACTCTCAAAATGGGTGAGATTGTGACCAATATGGGTTCGTGTTTTGCCACTGGACCAAGTGAGTTTATACTACTTCAACCTTAAAGCTTACTTAAAAAAATCTTTTCCAAGTTTGTTTGCTCTAAAGTCAGCTAAATCCTCAAAGTAAATACTCATGATACCATTGACCTCGAGCTCAGGAAGAAACATTTTATCGTTTTCTTCTTGAAATTTTTAGAAATTCTTGCTTAATTTGTCAAAAAATGGGGTTTTTGAAAAAATTTTGGCATAGCTTAAAGTGTAATGTATTCAAATGTGAATACACATGTTTTCATCTCAAATAGTCATCAAAAAAGTAATACATAACTGGCATGGAACATGTCGCTTCGAGTAGAAATGACATGGGCAATTTATTCTTCCTTTTTTCCTTTCATTTCGAATCGACTTTCCTTTTCCCCCTCAAAAAAATTGGTCGAGACCAAAATGGAGAAAATGGATGCCCTTAGGGTTTCGGAGGGGGAAAGGGAAGGGCCGAACAAACAAAACGGCTTGTTTTGGAAACGTTACGACTTTCGAGATTGTTTTGCTTATCTTTTCAGAAGTCACCCTTCTCAACTTGTCACCCTCCGCCATCACCGACCAAGAGATCACCGACAAGGCCAAGGCGGAGTTCGCGCGGGCCGCCACGCCCGCCGAACGGCTCCGCTTTGGCTGCATTGCCACGGGGATTGCGCACTTGAAGAGCTTTTCGCGGTAAGCCAGATTTTTTTCAAAGTTTCCGATATTATAGTAGCCATCAAGCAATATGGAAATTTCTTGAGATTCCAAGTTCAGATCTTTTTCAAATTTTACATTCCTTATCTATCAAGGCTAAATGTCATTTTCTGATACTTTCAAAGGATAGTTTCCAGAGCCGGTCGAGATATTCAACGACAATTTTTGCGAGAGAGTATGGAAAATGAAGAGAGCGGTCAGAGAAAAAAACTTTTTTCGATATCTCCTCGGATTTCACATGGAAAAAGTTGAGATTTCGCAGGAACGACGAAAAAGAAACTAAAAAAGAGTATCAAGTTTCCATTACATAGAAAACTCTCAAAAAGTTTTGAATTGTGGCCATTTCCGGGCAAAAAACCGGGATTTTTTGTAAAATGAGAAGTAAAATTTTACATATACAGTGGGGGACATGATCCAGTGGCAAAAAAAGTACCATTTAGCATCCGGGAAGTATCAAAAATGTGGCAAAATACTTCCCTCTCCAAGTGAAAAAACTCCGCGGAGTTTTTTTCACTTTTTCACTCCGATTTCAAAAGCGCTCTTTTTGTGAGGGAAAGGGCGCGTCCTTCAAATCGTAGTTTTTTTCACTTGGAGAGGGAAGCATTTTGCCACACTTTTGATGCTTCCCGGATGCAAAGTGGTAGGTTTTTTTCCACTGCATCGGGTCCTTCACTGTAAAAATTTGCTTATAAATATCTCATCAAAATGTTTTTTAACCCTAACATAAAAAACCATAGCGACTATTTACACCCCATAAATTTTCAGCTACATCCGTCAACATCCAAATCTGACCCTCGCTCAGCTCCATGAGCTCGTCACAAAACTGGCAGTCTCCTTCACAGATGATGATCTGGATCAGCTCATCCCCCTCTACGTCACGAACGGCCGAATAAACACTCAAAAGCTCTTATCCGATGTAAAAATTCCATTGGCTGAGCACAGACAAAAACTTTTGCGGGATGTTTTCGAAAAAATCGCTGGCGAAAAAGGCGCGACAGAAGTTGATGTCGCGAAATTTGTTCGGAATTTCTCCTTCAAACAGGATCGCGATTACGTATCAGGGAAGAAAAGTGACAGCCAGATCAGAGAGGAGTTCAAAAAGAAGTTCAATTTGGCAGAGCATGAGGACGGAAAGGCAAGGATAATATAAATTAAAAAAATTTTTGAAATTTCAGGTTACCCTCGACGACTTTATCGATTATTATGGCTCAATCAGCTACGGATGTCATTCCGACGCCTACTTTGACTTGTTTTTGCGGCAGGCGTGGAACTACTGAACAAAATTGATATTACTTTAGATGATCTTGCATTTTTTGTCATAATTTTTTGCTAGGCATAGTAACCTCGATCTAAGCGGTATTTAGGACTCTCTTCTGTTATCAGTCATAATATAGTCATCAAATCTAGCTAGAATTGTCAGTAGTTTATAGTTAAAATCGTGTTTGTTTGACTGCCATTTATCATCATCTACTTTCAGCCCACAAATGCTTTGTATTTTATCAGTTGCCGCAATAAACTCTATAGAGAGAAATGCAGATTTAATCTGACTATAATTAATAACTAGGAAGACCCGCAATTAAAATGGATACAACGGTTAACAAACTTCGATCATCTACTGGGGAATGCCTTCACCCGTCTCGCTGAACTTTTTGAAGATCCTCCGACGTTTAGTTTTCGCGTTGAAGAATGTGTTGAACAAGAACGCATCGAACTTGTGCGGATGCGGACCAGTCCGGAATAATAATTGCCTCTAAAAGGTGAAAAAATAATGGGCAAAGCAACGTACCATGTCGAATTTGGGATAAGGAATAAAAAGATGTTTGAGCCAGGCGGAACGCTCGGTTCGATTAGCTGGACGAGTGAATACGAAATTCTGCAGTCGCTGAGCAACAAATTTGGTGACTTCTTTCAGCTCGGGTTGACTCAAATATCCACCTTCAACGATCTTCTCCATTAGAACATGATAGTCTTTGGACTCCTTCAAAATCTCTGCAAGACTGTCTCCTTCTAGCTCTGGAGGTACCTCTGTGAATTCCTCAGAACGCGGAAGAATTTTCTGGAACAACAACAGAGATTATGACCTCACAAAGAATTTTCTAAAATAGGTACCTAAAATCAGATGAACAATGCAAAAAAACCTACTCCACTCTGGTCAAACACCAAGAACACCTCAGCACCGGACATGATAATCTGATTCCCTTCAAATTCCTCCACCTTTTGCTCGGTTTTGTCGTAAAGTTCACTGAATAATATTCGATCCGGATCCAAGCCTTCTTTTATAGCAACAGCACGAATGAGATCAACTCCTTTGATTGTAATAAGATCGTCAAGAAATGCATGAAGTCTGATTGGCTTTAGTTTTTCGTTGAAACAGTGGTAGGTGATTTTCTAAAACAATTTCTATGTTATACTTGACCCTAGTTATGGATATGAGAAAAAACGGTTGAAAAATTTGTCGATTATCATTTCAATTGGTCTGAAATGATAATGCAAGCTACAATCCTTCTCCGAAAAGGATTTACGAGCCTTTTAGGTACCTAAATTTCAAACAGATGAACAAAAATCTTACCGACAAGTTCTCGAGAAAGCTGAAGCCATTTTTGAGGCCGTCCGCCCGGCCTTCCATTGGGATTAACAGTGTCCGATACTCGCCTCCGACTTCTTACCCTATTCTTAATGCAATAACTTCAAAATTTACACGCAATGTCCACCAAAAATACCTTTTCCCTGGCACGAACAGTGTGAAATTCGAGAAAAAATGCCGACTTTTTCATCTTTTCCAACTTTATTTTTCTTTTTATTTTTTTTATGTCGAGGATAACACGTGCTGTTCGGAGAGTCTGCTCGGTTCGCAAACGAGTTATTACGGCCTAACTGGGAAGTTGAGGGGAAACAAAGGGAAATAGGAGGAATTCTTCGTGAGGTAGGGACAAAACAACTCAAAAAATACATAGGTTCTTGATTTTCGAGGGTGGAATGGTGGTAACATCCATTGATTATGCTTTACATTTAATTTCAGGCAATTTCTCATTCATTTTGAGGGAAATTATGGGGCAATTCGTCAAAAATAATATTATCCATGACAGAAATTGATGTTTTTCGGCGAAATTTTTGTTCTATAGCGAAACCAACGGATGTTTCTGGACCATTCGTACAACGGGGGGCTGAAAGAGATGGGATGGGCATAATAAAATTTTGAAAACGGCTAGTCTAAACTATAAATAGCAATCTGGATAGTCTGGAAGATTCTTGAACGATAATAACCACGCAATTGAGGGCGAAAATGCTCTGTAAAATACATTGAACTGAGACGGGGTGGGCGACTTCTTGATTTTGATTGGTTTTGGAGGCAATAAGGGTTCGTTTTGAAATTCTAGACTTTGATTTTTCTGTTTGGTTCACTCGAAGCTGGTCCGAACGTTGAGCACCTTGCGGATGACTCGATGTCGTTTGGCTTGGAAGTTGTAGAAATTGTTGAAGATGGCGGCATCGAACTCGGAGCGGTGTGGACTCGACCGGCTGATCAGCTGGTCCCATAGTGGGAAGTAGGTGAACAGATGCTTCAGCCAAAGTTGTCGTTCTTTCTGCGTTGCCGCTCGTCTAAAGACAAGAAAATCGAAAGTTGAATTCCCCACTTACCTCGAGACGTAACGCTGGAGGGGCTGAGCGATCAGTGGTTTGATCTTTTTCATTTCTTCCTTCTCAAGTTGTTGGCCTAATCGGAATTTTTCGAAGATTTGTGGGGCTTCCGGGACTGATCCGATGAGTTGTGTGAGCTGATAGTTGGCGAGTTCTGGCGGGATCTCGTTGAATTCGCCTTCTGGAGCAATGTTCTGCTGAAAAAATAGAGAAAATTAGTGGTTTTCAGAGACTTCGTATATTGTAGTAGGCGAAAAACTTGATTTCATCCAAAAATCAAACGATTTTTGTGGTGAAAATGGTTTTCAGACCCCATTTTGTGGTCCAATTGCCTGTGGCAACATTTTAACCCTATGGTTTAGTCATTTCCTACGTCTTAAAATTCAACTTACGCTTGAAGTGTCGACGGTGACAAAAACCCGGCTTGACGGAGGTGGATCCTCTAATTTGGCAGTGGCGATCCTCCCATCCTGTGTGATATATTCGATGAATATAACACGGTCCAATGTGGGTACCGTCCTGAAGATGACATCTTGCATGGCGTTAATCGGTCCATCGAAAGTTGTTCCGCCACAAATCGTCTCAGTTTTCTCATTCATCACAAACAATGTCAGCTGGTTAACATACTGCAAGTAATCGATTGATCTGGAGGTATTTGTAAGCTTCGGTATAATGTGGTTTTTCTTTGGGTAATTTTTTTACTCTTCTAGGGCTATTCGAGTTGCAACGCTTAGAGTTTGATACAATTGGGCTCAAATTTAGTGGATAACCTTGTATGAAATTTACAAAATCGCGCTTTGCAGAAAGCATCGAAAATTTGAGGTCGAATTCTTCTCCGGCTTCCGTTATTTAGTGAAAAGGGTAGATTACTCACTTTTAGCCGTTCCTTTTCCGCATCGCTGAGGTTGATGAAGCTCTGTTTCTTCTTCCTTTCCCCTTTCGTCGAAGACACGGGGGTCTCAGATTTGGGGAAATTAGGGTATTCCGCATCCCAATGCGATCGTTTTCGTGAATTCACCGGCTCCTGATGAGGTACAACAATTGGTGGAGGTGGCGCCGAAGTCGAAGGAACATTTAATGCCGGGATTGGAACTGGGATGTTCTGAAACGATGATGTGAAATACATTGTCAGGCCTCTTGTACCGGCGGTAGATTTAGAGAATACGGCAGAAAGATGATTTTTAGAGGCATGGAATAGTCATCATGGATACGGTAGCTCAAAATATCAATCTTCGCTTTTTTTTTGTTTGTTTTAGCACCTCTCTTTTTGCAACTCTGTCGCTCCTCCCTCCTTTTTTCATGTAGTAAATTAGGCAATTTTTAATACGCTTTTTATTTGAATGGTGTTAGGGGGGAATTGCGTTAAAAAAAGTAGAAAATAAAGAGCAAACTCTTTGGTCGGAAGGCAAGTGAGACGGGTGGTCGGGGGAAACGGAGCACGCAAAGGCGCCTGACCCGTCCGCTTTTTCTCCCCCGTCCTTTTCTCCCTGACCACTTTCCACACACGCCTCGGGGGCCATGGTCCGGGCCATCGGGGGGCAACTGTCCGCCGGAGTTTCGAATCCGCTGTCAATTGGACGGGGCGAAACGAGGAGAAAGTTCCGGGAGAACGACCGAGATGGACTGCCAAGCCTCTCGGGCGGGGAGAGCAAGGTTCGAAAACAGTGCTTGACACACGATGGAATTAACGGATTTGATTCGGCTTACTATAGTTGAGTTCTCATGTCCGTTAAAAGGAGCGTAAAATACGCTTTTTGGTCGAGTAAGGTATGCAAAACCGGTAGTACAGGTTCGATTAGTCGAGGGTGAGAGTTAAGATTGAATCAACGATAAAGTCCCGAGAGGAAAACATATTTGAGTAGTTTTTATCTCATCTATGCGTATTTAGATGAACTGGGGGTAAAAACGAAATCAGCAGACAGATTTTATCTGTATACAGTGCTATGATGACATTTAGACTGAACAGGAATTTATGCGGCGCTAAAATAATGCTATTCTGATCGAGAAATACCATAACAAGCCATTCTGTATGGTAAAATAAATTTGTGAGGACACATATGTCTAGTTTTTACATCCTAAACCTCGCATAATACGGCTACAAAGCCCGAAACCTCACAATAAAGTAAAAAACACCTCCGTCCTCGAGGAAAAGGCAAAAAACCCCCGGGTCAAAACCGAGAGAAATGAGAAATTACATGCTCGCCGCTGAATAAAAGACTGGACTGAACAAGTATGAAAAAATTCAAAAAATACCATTAAAAATTTTTTATGACCTTTTTTGAATATTGTGGGAGGAGTTTGTTTTGTGCGGTAAGCGCCGCGAAACCATGTAAAAAACCGGGGAAAAAGTAAATGAGAGAAGCAGCTGGCTTCTCGACAAGATTATGGCGGGGTAAAATGCGATTGTTCTAGCGGGGAAATGGTATTTTTGAGGAGAAAGGGAGCTGTTTCAGGGGAAATATTGACGTTTTTCTAAAGGTTTCTTACATAGTTTTGTTGTTGTTGCTGTTGTTTCATTTGATCTCGGCGCATTTGTTGCTCTCGCCGATTCTGCTGGATGAATTCGTCGAGGACGGCGAAGCGCTGCTTCTTCTGCTCTTCGTGTGCGCATTCGGCGGCTTGCACGATCTCCGAGATCACGCCGTCTTCTAACTGAAAAGAAGATGGGATTTACTTCTAGAAGAGAGTGCGACGTGGCGAGCTTGCAATGGGAGACTTACCTTTGTACATGAGTTGAATAAGTGACTTAAAAATAGAGATACATCCTCAGCAAATACCGGTCGTCTGAAATTGGGGAGATTAGGGGGAAAATAATGTACATGGACTCTAAAGCTAAGTACTAGTACCTCTACACAGGAAATCGCAAAGAACCAAAACAAAAATTTATTTGTAAGAGAAGAGGTTTTTGGGGATGTTTGTTTTGGCCTTAAGTTGCCTATTGATGCCTCTGAAATCGTTCGTTACGGGCAGTCTTCGTTGTAGAGAAGCTCCAACAGTGGAACTTCTCCACAACGAAAAAAAATCTTTCTTTGCCGAACGATTTACGAGGTTTCCCGAGGCAACTTTAGGCCAATACGAACCTCCGTACTACAATACTTCTATAGCGACTGAATTTTTTTAGCAATTTGCTGTAGACAGTATGTTAAAAAAAACGTTGCTCACCCAATAAACTCGTTTTGTAATACGCTGGCAATAATTTTTTTACATTGATTCCACTCGTCTTGGCCGATGGCGTTGAAGTCGCCGTTTTGGAGGTGCTGAATCGTCTCACCGGGCACCCCATTCGGGGACAAAAGGCCGGAAAGGGTGACGGAGGCAAGGGAAGGGGACAGGGTTCGGTAGGAACTGGTCGTCGTCTCCAGATGGTCCTGAAAATTCCGGGTAAAGGTCGTTAGCAAAGTTTGTCCCAACAATCTTTGGAATATTCATGAGGCCTGTTCAAGACCTGTAAGAAGATTTGGAGACTTTTGAAAGCTTTAAATACGTCGAATTCTTGGTAAATAGCATTGTTAGCCTCTGATGAGTCACCTTGTTTACAAGCAAAACCTCGCTTACCATCCTGGTGTCAATGATCAACACTACAGTTCGAGTTTCGATGTCTTCACCTGCGAAGAATTCACTGAGTTCGCCTTCTTTCCACGCCGTTCGAAGCAGAATCTTGTTTTGTTTGAATCCCAAGGTGGTGAGAACATCTTCAATGGCGTTATGAACCGTAATCGACAGCGAACGCTTCATTGTGGCGGCATTTACGAACTTCAGAGACTCTGTGAACACGTAGATTTCGGTTTCAACTGTCTGAAAATTGCGATCAAAATAGAAAGTTCGATTAAACCATGAAAAATGATGACAAAATTGAAGGTTTAGCTGAAAGAAGCTTACATTGGGGTACATCTCTACTTCCGGTTGTGGCGAGAACATATAATACGCTTTTGCTTTGTCCTCATATCGATGATTTCCATCAATTATGTTCATATTACACTAAATACCGGCCTGGAATTGGGAGATAAAATATTGAGATTTTCTAAGGGGGATATACCGCGACTTGCAGGTTGAAAACGAAAAATTTTTGGTTAAAAAGCTGCTGAAATTATAACAATCTACGAACTAGAGTTCACACTAAACATACTACACAATCTTTCCGGAGCCATGCCAACCACTGGCCAAAAGATTTTCAGGTTACAATGGGAATTGACTAGTAGCTATCTGGGTCATTCCAACTGCAAAGGCGGTCGAAATGCGGGGCCGGTTCTAGTGCCAACGATTTGCAAAGCAGAGAACCCCTCTTGAATAATTGCATAATCAATGAAGGGGTACCCGCGAGCAGACGCCCCAAACATTTCTCAAAGACATTCGCCAAGTCAGCTGTGATATAATCTCCAACCATCTCCCAACGCGTTGGAAGACAGGGTTGATCGGATTTGGATGAGTAATGATGTACCAGATCGCGGAGAGCATTGACTAATATAGCCGCAATTTTTGAGATTTTTAGGTGGTAAAAATCGACCTAATTGAGAAGTTTTGCATAGCGATGATTATTGAATAGAGGTACGATCAAAGTTTATTTCGTTTTACAAAGGCGTTAAATTTAGTTGTTTGTTGCTTTTCCCGAAAAAAAGCAGTAAATATTCCTATTGATGATTCGAAAAAACACGCATTCCGTTTTTTACTTTTTATCAAAAAACGCAATAAAAATTTGTGACCGTGCTCGCGGTCATTCCCTCTTGCCAAATCTTTTTTTTTGCACCCTCTCGCCGCGAAATATGAAAAACCCCACGGTGTTCAAGTCCAAATCCCTTGCTTTTTTCGAAAAAAAGGGTTTTAATTAGAAAAAAAGTAAAAAAGGGCTGAAAAACCGGCAGAAGGGAAAAAAAAGATTGTGCGGGGTGGAAAAACGCCGAAGCTGGATTGTCCGTGCAACGTTTCAGGGCTCCATCCGAATTCTGTCCCCCTCTTCCTTCGCTCTATCCGTGCCCCCTTCTCCTCTCTCTCTTCTCGCTTTCGTTCTGCCCCCCAAGCGCCTTTCGCCTCTCGCCGCATTCCCAGCCCCGGCAGAGCCCCACAGCCTTCGGCTGCTCCGCCACATCTCCCGCCGTCCCTCCGCTTCTCTTCCACGCGCAAATATGCCGTCCATTCTCTTCGTCGGGCTCTCTTTTCATCTCCTCTCACTCTTCGCAGCCGCCAGTGAAAACATCATTTTCTCCTCTTCTGCCCCCCGACTCTTTCCGCACAGCCCCCCGGCCCCTCTCGAAAAGCCGGTTTTAACGCAAGGCGATGCAACGAAGAGAGGGGAGGAATGGTGAGATGGGGGAAGAGCCGAAGGACGTGTGGTCTTCCGTGGCAGCCAACGATTGTTTTCGTGGCGAGAGAGGGACGGATAAGTCATGCATAATCAGATTTGAAGAATGCAACTCGTTAAATCTCTGCAAAAAAGCTGACATTTATCTTATGACGAATTTTGTTTTTTTTTGTTGAATTTGGCAAAAGTTTAGGCAAGAATTTTTACGCCGTCATTGGAACTTCTTATTTTCGCTTTGCAGAAAATGCCGGGCTTTTTATGTCGGAAGTTGGCCAAAAATTTTTAGTTTTTAAAATCTTTCGGCTTTCATGAAATCTGGCTCCGAATAAGGTGAGTAAATTTTCTACCAAAACAAAAAAATAGTGAAAGCGAAATTTGCAGGGATATAGCCTGAAACAAATTCCGTCGTTTTCAGATTTGTGGTTTGTAAACGTCCAGAGAAATTTCCCGGAAAGTTTATGTCAGTCTTTTGGAACATCATAACAAAGTCTTTAAGGTTAGTGGACGGCCAAAAAATCTATCAAAAGTCTCCGAAAGCACCACTTTCCGCGTTGGCGGAGAAAAAATCTTTTTAAAGATAAAAGTTAAAAAGAACCGCCCATCTTTTTCTCTCTACTGCAAAAAGTATTTTTTGGATGTCTTGGCTGAGCACCAAGAAACATACGAAAGCTTTCTGGGGAATTTTTCCGGAACCCTGTATAAATTTGCAAGAAGTCATCCATGCAGTATGTTGTCCCCCTCTCTTATGCCAATTTTTTGGTGTTTTCGACAAAAAAGTTTACGACATTTACGAAAAACAGTCATAAAAATTCATAATTCGCAGCTTCACACCATCGGAATCCGAGGACCAATTCCCTCAAAAAAAGCACCAATTTAAACATTGATGAAGAACTTTGCAATTATTTACGTACATACAATACACAAACATGTCCGACCATGTGCTTTGTAAATCTGTGATGTGGTCTTTCAAACCACGCCTGATAGTTCATTGAACATTGAAAGTGATAAGATTGTGCTCTTTACATAAACTTTTTGACGGTATATAAAGTGAACGGATGCATTCCAGATGGACCAGGGAGAAGTTATGTTTTGTTTCAAATAAAGTCAAATTTATTTTTTAACTCAAGGCTCCATTGGTGTTGCGACTCTTGGGGACAACCACTTTGCGGGCAGCCGACATTTTTTGATTAGAACTGCGATTTTTGCACCGTAATCTATGTAGTATGATAGAAATTTTGCTTTGCCGACTGTGCGTGGATGTGTGTACTGAGAATTACACGAATCTATTGAATTCATCTACAACTTTCAAGGTTATGGGAGTTTATCTTCAAAAAATGGGTTATGAACCTTTAAAAATGCCTGAAAAACCTTATGGTGACAATTCAAGTCATTTATAGACGTAGAAATATTTTATCTGCAACATCTAACTTCCAAACTCATCGTTTGCATTTCCTCTGATTTCCAAACATCCCGCAGAATCTTTGTGGACCTTCTAGCTGCCCGCAAAGTGATTGCCGCAAGTGAGGGCCCGCCACACTTGCTTTTTTGGGCTAAAATTTAGCCTTAAGGCCTCTGAAATTTTTTGTTACAGAAAGGCTTTGTTTTACGGGAGTTCATTGTACGGAAACTTGGTTCTATTTGACCAATTAAAATAGTTATACTGAACCAGCGCTAAAAATGATCTTTTATTTTGTTTCTTTCAAAAAAAACGTGGTAACGAAGCAACAAGTTAATTTAAGCCGACGGTTGTTTACACGGAATGAATAGGAAAGTTTAACAGGGTTCTTTATGTAACGCTTTTCGACACAAGCTGTATCAACCCGTTGTAACATAAGTGATTTGAAGGAAGCTGTCTGAAAAAGTATTCATTTGAAGCTAACGACAAGTGAGGTAACAGCGGGTGTATTTTCAGTATTTCGAAGACCTTTTTAGTACTTTTTATCAGTCAGTCTGGAAAATAATGGCAGGTCATGGCGCCTTGGAAAAGCCCATTGTCGCTTTCCCATGGCAGCCGGAAATTTTATGCGCGACTGCAACGTTTTTCGACGAGGCAAGTCATTTTGCTGCGGTTTTTTTCACGACAGACTGGAGGATTTATAGTCTTGGTATCCCCAGGGGGATCCTTGAATCAAGGTGTACTATATACAGACCTGAAAAAACGGTTTATCCTGTTTTGGTCAGGTTGAACTCTGTATAACATTTCCTGCACTCTACTGGGTTCTTTCAAATATTTCGAGTGAAGCGTCATTCCGCTAACCCCCATAATTTTTTAAATTTTAAGACCAGCGATGATAAATCCAATCAAAATTTTCTGTAAAATGCAACGTTACTACCACAACATAAGTTTTTTTTTAATTTTTTTAGTAAGGGAGTTCGTAATACATTTTGTGTACCTATTTTAACCCTGGAGCTACCTGTAAACACGCTTAGTTTACGCTGTAATACCCTGTTTAACCAAGTGATTTTTCCAGTAAATTTTGATTCTTTTAATTACAAGACGTAACGGTTCCTTTGTTCCGAGTTTTTGATCATTTGTAGTATCTTCGTTTGATCAAAAAATTTCGGCGGCCATTTTAGGATGTCGCTGGAAATCCCGAAAACTTTCAAGAAGGCGGTCTTTGAAAGTAATGGAGCTGCAGCGAAATACGTTGATGGAACCATCCCCGAGATCGGACACGATGAAGCTTTGGTAAAAGTGTTGTATGCTGGCGTTTGCCATACGGATTTAGCAGTCTTACACGATGAGCTTCCATGGCAAACTCCGTATCCGTATGTGGGAGGACATGAAGGCTCAGGAGTTGTGGTCAAGGTAAGCCGTTTACTCCACCAAAAGTCCGATAAATTCCCACTTTTGTCTCAGCACAAACCTGACATTTTTTTCAGTAACCTTAAATTTTTATTCCAAAAAATATTTCTATTTGTTTTTTAAATATTTTTCTCCTTTTCTCCTGGCCGTCGCTGCTTCTTTTCTACTGGAAAGATAATCTTTTCTTCGTTAAACATACCATATATAATTCAGGTCGGCGCCGGCGTAACCCACGTGAAGCCCGGCTCCAAAGTCGGCATCCGAATGGTGAATGGAATGTGTAATCAATGCGAGAGCTGTCTGAACAACCGCGAATACATTTGCATCAACCAAAAGATGGTCGGCATCTTCCTCAGCGGCACCTTCGAACAATACACTGCCCTCAAAGCCCAGGATCTCCTCCCACTTCCCGAAAACATTGATCTCGCCGCCGCGGCGCCGATTATGTGCGCTGGAGTCACGGCGTATCGTGCGCTGAAGAAGACCAACCCGGTGGTCGGCCAATTTGCCGCCATTATTGGTGCCGGCGGGGGAGTGGGCTCGTTCGCTGTGCAATACGCTAAAGCACTGGGATTGCGAGTTGTGGCGATAGATCACCCGTCGAAGCGAGAGCATTGCCTCAAAATCGGCGCTGAAGTTTTCATCGACGGCTTTAGTGAGAAGATTGTGGAAGAAGTTCAGACGGCGACCGCTGGCGGCGCTCATGTTGTTATCAATTTCACGGCAAGTCCCAAGGCAGTCAACACAGCGACGCAATATGTTAGAGCTGCCGGAACAATCGTGTTAGTTGGTGCGATGGATGAGAAGGTAGGCGATTTTTGATGCTTTTATAATTCTTCAAGGGGTTTCAACAAATACCCGCAGAAAGTTTTTGCGAATATCTTTGTGCTCCTTGGAGCTATCCAAGAAGCTTAAATTAATTTTAAAATCTAAGTTGGGTGATTTTGGAAGAGACAAAATAATTTTTCTTATGTCGGCAGAGAGACTAGTTTTCGGCGGAGACATTTGACCGCCTTTTAAAAAATTATATCTCGTTAGAAATCCCAGAAATCTTACCTACGGCTTAAACTAGGCTTGTTACTTCTGTTACAATATAATCTGTTAGATTATGTAACTTGGTGGATGTTTCACACATCGGCGAAGGCTTGGTGACTCTTTTTAACACCTTGTAAATAAATTTTGCCACTGAGGTGATGCTAGACCAATATTTCTTTTTTAGAAAGGCACCACAGCCCTCAGTCTGGACAATAATCTGATTGCCACCCGTTGCCTTACTGTTACCGGCTCTATGACTGGAACGCGACAAGACACAAAGGAAGCCCTTGATCTGTCTGCTCGAGGGGTTGTAAAAATCCCCATCGAAGTTAGACCCTTTAGTGCGTTGGATGAAGCACTACACAGTTTGAAGAACAGCGCTGTCGCCGGAAGAGTTGTGCTGGACTTGTGGAAGTGATTAAAAAAAGTTTCCCAATTCAAGTTTTCCAAGGCTGTAAATTGTAACTATTTGATTGAAAAACAGCGATTTTATTGAGTCAAACTTCTTCTAATATTTCGAGTTTTCTAAGGGACAATCTCGATGTTGAAAGCACCAATGTTGGCGCTATTTTTGCCCAAACCGAAACGGATATATCCTTGTTCACCGAAATCTTTGCCCCATGAATTCTTGGCAATCCAGTAGGGCCCAGCTTTCACATCAAGCCCATGACCAACTGTCAGAACGGCATGGTTGATGTCCCTCGATTTGGCGGTAATAATTCCACTCAAATAGAACTGAAGGTCAGTGGCATCGATGTCTGAAATTGTCAGCTGAAGAGGTTCGAAGAGACCGTATCTTTGCCAGTGTCGCAAACAGTCGATTTTTATTGGAAACAGTGGAAAAAAATTCCACATTTTTGCCAATTTTTGACTTAACAATTTCTGACGTTTCTGCAAAGCGCGATCTAAGAATCTCAAATAGATTGCTAAATATCTCGACTGCCTTGGCGAAATGCGAGTCCATTACTACTTAGCCAAGGTAGATTATGATGTATCGGTCTATCGGGAAAATAATGAGCCCTCTGTCGCACTGAAAATCGCATTGCCGCCGAGAAAATGAATTCTGTCGCGGCAAAATCAAATTGCTTCAGCGACGCGATTGGCGCAGTACTCATTATTTTCCCGACAGACTAATAACAAAACCGAAGCTTCTCTTTTGCGGCACTCCCCATGCAAACCGCACTTCTACTTACACGAAACAAGCGGTCCATTGCTGATCAATTTCTGCTTCATACTGTCCTCGTCGTACATCGGCAAAAACTCGAAGTAGTCGAAATATCTTTGTTGATTTTTGAACTGTCTGCATTTTGCAATTTTGCTTCCATTCCTGTAGAACTGAAGTTTATAAGGCCATGAGTTCTCCGTTACAAGACCTTGATCGACGGCGAACTGCAGAATTTCCGACGGATCTCCCCCATTGCATCCGTCGTTCTCATAATCGGTGTTGTTGTAAGTACACGCAATGGCATGCTGCTCGCTAAGATCTATCGCTTTTTTGAATTTGATCGTGTAAATGCTTTCAATTGCAGCGATTGCTGCAAAAGCGTAAGATGCAGCGCATTTTCCTTGATCTTTGATTTCAGTTACGCCGCCTAACAGTCTCCAGTCAAATGCGGCCAAAGAACTGTCGGTTGAGTTGGAGGAGCGTTTGAATCTGGCTGAAAATTAAGATATAGCCTACTATGCTTCTATCATTTCGTCGGGAAAATGGTGGTGGGTTGTCGCCAAGGCGCGACGACCGACCGTTACTTTCAAGAAGATGGTATTTGCTTACATTCCGTCTGATTTTCGGAACTCCATTCGTCTACAGTGGTTACCCTCGTATGCGTTAGTGTAGAGTCTTTCTGTCCACTGGCCGTACTTCCAACGGTCGTTTTCCCTGCCTTAAACTTGTCGACAACACTAGGCGGAACTCCAGTATACTGCTGAATAAATTCTTCGGTCGATAGGTCCGAGAACTTTGTAACCCCAAATTCGGCGTGCGGATTCCTCTTCTTGGCGGCATTGATGCTCGCCTCGGCTGCCTTGAACCGTTGAAATGCTTGGCCTATCTCACGCTCAAAACGATACTCCTTTTGGAATCTGAAAATGCAATTTTCATTTTGAAAAACAAAATTGAGTGTCAATCTGTCGGGGAAATAATGAGCACTCTGTCGCATTGAAAATCGCACAGTCGCTAAGAAACAGAATTGTGTCGCGGGAAAATCAAATTTTTTTCACTTCAACAAAGCGATCTGCGCGGCACGTCAAGAAAAAATAAAAGAAAAACGGGCGCCCAATGAAAAAGCCTAGAATTTTTTTTGGCATTCTGCCCTGTGCAAATCCGTTTTTGTCCAAATGGTTTGCAATATTTTGACATAAAGATTAATAGTAAATCACAAGATATTGATACCAATAGAAAGCTCGAGAGCTGCTTAAGCTAATAGAACCAAAATATACCCATAATCGTAGTATTTTGACAGTTTTCCATGGCGAAGAATGCAACGTCTAAATAAAAGTTTGTATCGACGATACCGACTCAGAGAGCACTGGAAGGAGGTATAGGCTCCACGTCAAAAAAATCCTTAAACTGTTCTTCGAGTATCTACACCGGTCCCGTCCCGCTTGATGGGACAGTTTTTTTGATAGTTGGCCTTGAAATTTGCACTATTTTTAGCCTAGCTCGAACCATGTTCAGAAAATGCGTCACGATGACACCCATTTAGAATGTACCAGCGGTATAAAAAACAGTTGTATACGACTAGTAGTACTCCCTAGAGTTCCCATTAAAAAAATTAGGTTAAAAATTGTTGTTATGTGCAATTTGGATGACAGGTTTTATGAATTTTTTTTCGCTGTGAGAACCTTTGCAAGGCCCGCAATTTCTTGACGTGCGCGGCGACACTTTGGTCATTATTTTCCCGACAGACTGATCTATACTTGTTAAATTTCAAAATTTCGACCGATTTTTTACTAGAAGTTTGGTGGAAAATCTCAATTCTCGTGGAAAAGAATGGTAATGCAAAAATTTTGTGAAAACAAAAATTTAAAGAATGTAATTTTTGGAATTTCACAATAGGTTTTTTGACCTTCATTTTGCAAAAAAAAACTTTAATTTGCATGGCTATACAAAAGAACTCACTCGATGATGAATCTGAAGAACTGATTGAAGCTGCTCACTTCACTGGGATCCACTCTTTTCCTCAAGTTTGCCGCTAATCCCAGACTTGCTTTGGTTCTGTCGCTCACATCGACCAGATCTTCTATATACTGATTCAACTTGTTACTCTCATACAACACGTCCAACCCGTCTGTCAACGAGTTTTGCGGCGGTTTGGAGGTTGAGAGAGCAGTAGCGACCGTAGCCGATAAATAAATCAGTGTCCATTGCATGTTGCGGCGCTCAAATAAACGAGATTATGATTTTCCAGGCGTTTTGTGTCTTCCGAGAGACTTTGGCCTTGCTGTTGTTCGAACTGTTTGAAGTTCGGTTTGTTCGTTTGGACAGTTGTGCGTTGAATGCAGATGTTCGACAAGGGAGAACATTGGGCACAAGATTTTGTCGTTTTTGCACTTTGCTCTTTGCAATTATCATCTCCAATCAATAAAAAATGGATATCAAGGCTTGACTTGCAGCTTTCAGTTTATCAGTATGCCGGGAAAATAATGAGGACTCTGTCGCATCAAAAATTTTATCGCCGCTTAGGAAATGAATTGTGATGTCACAAAATCAACTTGCTTTCACTTCAACGACGCAACTAGCGCGTCGACATTGTGATCATTATTTTCCCGACAGACTGATATAAATATTTTTATAAATTTCCTCTAAATTCAGACTGATAACACATGTGCCGAAAAAGCCTACCGCTGCATAGCGACTAACAGAAAACTTTGGGTAAGCAGAAAAGAAGGCGCACAAAATTGCAACTTTTTTATAAAATTTCTAAAGTAATTTTTCCGATATCGTCGTAGACCGATTTCTCAAAGTGACCACGCTGCTTACCAAATAAGCGACAGAGTGCTCAAATCGACAGGGTAATTAATTTTTACGATCTTGATGCTGACTTGATATGGACGCATTTCTGGCTTGCAGAAGTTTAAAAAATAAGATTTTTTCAATTGTCATCCGGAAGTTTTTGCTGCGGGGTTCCTTACAATATTATTATTTTCTGAAAGCCAGCTTTTTACTCTACTGCCATACCAAATTTCAGCCTTCTATCGCGAACGGCTAGCGAGATATAGAGAGAAAAAGCAAGCGCATCCCGAAAAAAAATTGAAAAACCCGCGGGGATCGGTTGCATCCCAAAAGTACAGCATGCCATGTGGACGCAATACTAGACAATCTGACCGGGAGATTGGTCAGACTAGACACCCCCGTCATGCTGACCGGTCAAATTTTTCCACTCATACCGTACCATCAAACCGAAAATCGATTAAAGTTCAACCGGTTGAATTGCAACGTCTCTTCAGCGTCTTACCACTGTTGAACTGGTTTCCGCCGCCATTGTTTGCGTTCCTAATAAATCACCTCGACATTTATATAAGTGACATGATGCCGCTATTTATATAAGCCGCAATTTTCTTTTCTTATTTTTAATTTAAAAATCGAAGTCTTTGCTTGATAAAAATTTTTTAATTTTCCGGTTCTTTTTTTTTTATTTTTTCCAGTGCAAAAAATTTGCATATCAGTCTGTTGGAAAAACATTTAGGAGAATGTCGCTGCGCCAATCACGTCGCTGAACTGAAAAAGTGATTTAATTTTGTTGCCACACAATTTTTTTCTCAACGGCGATGCGATTTTCGCGCGACAGATTCCTCATTATTTTTGCGACAGACTGATAATTTAAAATTTTTATTAATTTTTTTATTCTCAAATATCACGAACTCGCTACATTCCCAAGTCTACAATTTTTTATTACACGGCTTTTACGACCGGTAATTTCCACTTCGGGAATAGAAACAAAATTTTACTATGCAAAAACGTTGTTTACTACCCGGAAACGCCGAGACAACTGGAAAAAGATCTGCCCGCGAACTTGATTTTTGACAGCTTTTACTACTGTTCTCACGATTACGATTCGGTTCATTGCCGCGCGATTCCTCGAGAATCACTCAGTTTTTTTGCGTTAATACAGTTTCGGCGGCAATCTGTTTTGATCCGAGAAGTTGGTTCGACTTTCGATTGTCGAATTTACCCGGAAATTTTACCATCCAGCTTAATCATTTTTCGAGATGATTGACTTAGACTGTCGGGTTTTTTGTTCTTTCAATTTTTGTACCTTACTGAAGTAACTTTTTTATGTCATCAAAGGCAATTTTAGACCAAAAAGTAGCGCCAAATAAGGAAAGGAATTTTTGCAAAATAGTTATGGGCTCGCTAGAACTCACTATCTAGAATCTTAAGTCTATAAATGTGTTCAGTTCTCAGCAGGCCATCCGAGAGTTACTGAAACTCAATGCAAAGTTGCTGGAAAGATTTTTACGACAATCACGGTGAGACAAAAGCTCACGTTGCACTGCGCAATTTGTTGCGTTCTTCACAGTACAATCGGCTTTTTTGAATGTCGCTCGCACTCTGACTTTTTTTGCACAGTACTTGTCACTCACAAAAATCAGTCCGGCGGCATTTTTATCGGATGGACTGATAAAAGAGGAAACTCTTGCGACACTCGGATTTCCATAAAATCCCGTGTGTTCACTTTCTTTATGGCCAGTATTGCTTTTAAAAAAAATTTTCGCCCATGCTTTCCGGAAGCAGTCGAAACATTCAAGATTCCTGGTTATGAGATTTGTACGAGCTGGGAAATTAGGCGAAGGCTTTGGTTTAGCTCGCTTTGGCTTTATAGTAGCGTTCGCCATGGATAACAATTAGGCTTCGCGTTGGCTTTACATTTAGTTATCTTTGCTTTTCAGCAAAATAGGATTTTTCTAAGCTATCTGGAAGTCTGTAGGGTAATCGACAGTGCCGGTTTGGAAAAGCCAATCATTTTTTTTTAATTTTACTTTTTTCTTAAGTAGCGCTGTAAATTGGTAATGTTTTGTTTTCTCTCATTGATAAGTGCTTTTATAAGTATGTAAAAATTCCGACCTTCCACTCTTATAGTATATTCTCTTTTTGCCTTTTTTTTGGTGTGTTGTATTGTAAAGTTGCTAAGAATACTTTTTAAAATCCACCGACACCTCTAAAGTCTTACGCCTTCAGCGTAAAATGTAATGTAACTTCAGCCTATAAATTAGAGATAAATTTATGAAAAAACGTCTCGAACTTACTCTCAAGTCGGTGTCGGCTTTCGAAATTTATGACCCTCCATGCGCCATGTGCGTGGCTGAGTCTTCAGTCGGCATAAGTCAACCCAAGCGCGCCGCGGAAATGTTTTCGTTATTAATGGCGGGTATAAATCAACGTTTTGAACGAACTCGTAGCGTTCAGAGCGGCAGACGGATGATCTTGAGGATACACGCGTAGCCGCTCTTCTGCAAATACGATGCAAACGAAAGCCCTGGCCAGAAGAATGGTGGTGCTATGGGTTGTGATGGTCTACGAGGCGTGCGGAATGTCATACGGTATGTATCATGAATTAATATTTCTTTTTAGATTGAAATCGGCTAAAATTGTATAAATAAAAGTATTTCTTTGATTTTCAAAATTCGAATTTTGAATTTTTAAAATGAAGAGTATAATGTTCCAACAAAAAGTTTATTTTTTTCAAAAGAAATTGGCAGAGTTATGGCCTAAAAACATCTTTTCCAGCCGCTCTCCTCATCTTGCTTATTCTCTCGAATAAATCAGCGAATTTATCGAAATCAAAGATTAATTTTTCACCAATTTTCAGATGAAAAACTCAAAAAATTCGACAAAGTTCGAATCGATGAGCGAAATTTCGCCAAAATTCACAACATCCACGTCAACTGGTATGGGACCTCGATAAAAGCGATCATGGGGCAGCTCGGCAAATCGCTGTTCAAGGAACTGGATGACGGTAGGAAACGTTCGCCGAAACATGATGTTTTAGATGATCGCCGGGCTCTTGCGCGGTGTCTGGATAAGATCGAAGATCGAAAGGATCTCGAGGAGAGTGCGAAGTGTCTGGTGCGAAGTCGTAAAAGTTCTTTGTCGAAGAAACGGAAGCGAACGGAAGAAGATTCCGGCGAAGAGTGGGTTGGTGGGTTCCGGCAGGACGATTCGAATGGTGTGACGAAACGCAAGGCGTTCCGGGAGGTCTTGGGACAACAGACAAGCAAGGAGGTGAGATTTTCAACGACTTGCATTCGAATTACCATGAATTTTAGGCAAATGTCACTAAAATACCCAGAATAGCCCTGCTTCGGCGACGAGTTGTCAATGGGATTAGAAAGTCGCAGAGAAGAGGAAACAGGCGGAAAAGAAGCTCTCGCTGGACTCGATTTGGCGATCTGGACAACGAGCCCGACAACACCTTGAAAGTAATGGAACCGATCTTCCCAATGTGCTTATTTTAGAGTTGCAGGTGAGAAATGTCACCAAATCCGGAGGACTGCGTGGAGCCAAGGAACGGAGTCCCGTTTCTAGGGTAAGTAATATCTAGATTGCGATTATTTGTCAGTTTACCTACAATTTTGCTCCATTCTCTTATTAGGTAGCCGACCTAATCTCAATGATTGCCATGGGCAATGTTACTGTTGATGAAGCGGCAAAAACTAAAGCGGTAGAATGGAAACAGACATATGATCGGCTGCTCAATCTCAAAAAGGTATTTGAGAAGAAAGAAGAGGAGCCTGGGGCACGAATCTACTCTATGAGAATGTACGATATTGTACTTGACCGGAAAACTCCTACAATGTCGCCAAAAGAAAGTGTAAGACAGTTAAGTGACATAATTTTCTTTTTCATCAACCTTTATAGCATAATGACATTTCTCGTCTATATTATTACGTAATGACTGCGTCTAAGGCCTTGAAAAATTCCAGCGAACCCCTCAAGGCCTGATTCAAATGGCAATGACCTTGTTCAATCAGCTCGGAGGCGATAAAAACAGAGAAATGAGAGAGTCGATGAATACGAACGTCCTGAGCCCTCGATTCGCTCCGGTTATGCGGGATAAAGCCAGATCGACCAATATGAATCTAAGCCCAACGATTTTATCGTTTTATGAGGACGAAGAGAACAAGAACAACATTGCTTCGATCCCGAAGCTGTTGAAAAGCGCTGGAGTAGAAGGGAAAGACCGCGAAGTCATGCTTGGAGCGCTAATGAAGGCGTCTGGAGCTACGGATGTTGTCAACGACGCGATCAACTTTTTGGATGGCATCAACTTTTTTGGCAAGTTTCTAACGTGTTTTCGAAAGTGTAAACGTTGTTTTTGTGACTGTTGGTGGTTCTGAAGCCTTTCATGCCTATTATGTTTATAGGCATGAAAGACGAAGTGTTCGAAGTCACCGAGAGAGTTGCTGGAGTGTACGAAGAGCTAGAGGCGTCGTTTCATCAAAGGCAACATGACAGTCTCGAAAAGGAAGGTTTCACTTTTATGGATGACAAACAATTGGAACAGTTGTACAACAGCGAAAGTAATGAGACCATTTCTAATCGAAAACCCGTATTTTAGAGCTTAGCTTGCCGGACAAGGCCAAATCATTGAACAATTTGAAGAACACGACCATTGCGCAGAAAATGGAAGCCCTCTGGCTTACCATTGAGCAAATTGCAAGTGGGAAATCCTTTGTAAGTTGCAAAACAAATGCGTAATCTTGGTTAGGATGAGCAGCCGGTCTACAAAAACATCACAGCCTCTGGTCGATTCTCTCGCCACAAGAGAGATCTAGCCACTCCATCGGTCCTCTCACCGGTAATTTTGGCGCCCTATATGTTCGCGCCTGTATTCGGCCTCAGTGTTCTGGGGCCGGTAATCCTATCGCCCAATATTTTCAGTCCCCTTATTCTAAACCCTTCGGTTCTCGGCCCGTTTATTATGTCGCCGGCCGTAGCCATTCCTTTCATTATCTCGCCGTATCTATTATCACCCTACATTCTTTCGCCGCTGGTGATGGCACCTTTCATCCTGAATCCCTACGTTTTGTCCCCCAACGTGATCAACCCGTACGTTTTGAGTCCTCTCGTATTAAGTCCGCTCGTTCTGTGTCCCGACGTAATATCGCCGATGACGTTGGGTGGCGCGGTGTTAAGCCCTAGTGTGGCGTCGCCGGCGGTCCTAACCGAAACATTTCTTATGTTAACCGTACTTTCACCGTCTTTCCTGTCTCGATGAGAATCATATCTTATTCTTAATATTTGGCCAGCTTTAACTGTCGTTGTAGTTATGATTACTATACGTTCTAATAACACCATAATTAAAATTATCATTTATTTTCTTTCAAATAAAAATCGTATGAAAACGCGTTAAAGACGAAAAACAAACTTATTACAATAAAACTTTTGCCTTATATAGTTATATAATCACCGTCAAAATGTGTTGAAGAAGTTGAAGAAAACCTTATTAAATAAAGAGTTTCTCGGCGGAGAAGTTATGGCCAAAGACGAAGAATTCTGGGGGGTCGGGGCTTGAATCGATTGTATTCGATAAAACAGAATGACAACGTGAGAGAAAAGTACCAGGGGGGAAGAAAGAGAGAGAGAGGGAAGATACCACGATCCGAGAGTAGGCAAATATTAGAAACGTCGAGGACCACCTACAAGTTGGAAATACACTTGAATGTAATATAAGGGACCTATTACAGAGGTGTGGTTTCCGCTACCGTACAATTATTTACTGAGTTATTCTGAAGCGGGTTGTCGAAATAAGTTTAAAGCTATCAAAGAGACATATTATACAATTCGGAGAGAGCGAAGAAAGGGAAAAGAAAAAGAGGAAATTTTGACAATACAGTCTGTGGGGGAATTACAGTAATTTTTTTGAAATTACAGTAACTCTTGGGAACTACAGTAACCCTTGGAGAAGCTACAGTAACCCTTTGGAAATTCAAGTAAGGCTTAGGAAATTACAGTAACCCTTAGGAAACGACAGTAACTCTTCAGGAACTACCGTAGCTTTGGAAAACAGCAATGCCAAGAAAACTACAGTAATCCCTAAATTACAAAAAAAAACCAAAATTCGTATTGTCGCAATGTTTTCTTATGCTCAGACCAGCGTTTTTCCATGACTAACCTAGATTTGTTTCGCTGAATTAAATACACAAACACCGGGGGGACTCTGAGAGCTTCTGAAAGATGGAGCATGACTTAGTTACGGAAAACCCAGAGGCATCTAAGACAAGGTTGGTATTCTGATAGCACCGAGAACGCAGTACCAGCCTTCTGGAGAGTTCGAAGAGGGGGGGGGGCGTGAAAACAAAGAAGAAAAGTTCAGAAATATGTGGCTAGAGGAACGACTACAGGCTAGAAGTTTGTTGAAGAAATTTTTGGTGCAGGTCCGCCGCCACCGCCTCGTGGCGCGTCTTAGAACTCGGCGAACTCGCGCGCGCACCGCTCGGTGCCGCTGATCCGCAACGGCTCCTCCTCGTAGTCGTCGAAGTTGGACGCGTCGCCGGGCCCACGGCATTTCGGCAAGAATGGCGCTTCCACCTGCAAAATGAGCGCAAGTTTAGATACGACGTCTTCGCAACACCACAACTGGTTAGCATCAAGTTTTATGCGCAGTTAATGGATTCACAAAATAACCGGAACAAATCAAACAAAAAAAACAATACCAGGTACTGGATGGTTGAGCGAAATGGGGGCTTTAATCTTCGTTGCGAAAATTTGTATCGTACAGTGGCGGCGCCGATCCAGTGGCAAAAAAAACGTTTCATTTTGCATCCGGGAAGTACCAAAAATGTAGCAAAATACCTCCCTCTCCAAGTGAAAAAACTCCGATTTCAAAAGCGCACCCGCTCTTTTTTTGAGGGAAAGAGCGCTTTCTTCAAAACGGAGTTTCTTTTAGTTAGACAGGGAGGTATTTTGCCACATTTTTGATACTTCCCGGATGCAAAATAGTACGTTTTTTTGCCATTGGATTAGTCCACCACTGTACATAACACAATACAGTGAATAGGTGATGATTAAAGCCCTTCAACAAAGACATCTACACACAACAATATTCCTACAACTTGTTGTTAATTCAAAACGTGCAAACAAAAGTCAAAAGTGATCAAGCGAAGACGAATGAAGAAGAAATCGATGACTTATGACACAATAAAAGTTTGAGGACAGACCGACGGTTGTTCTTTAGCAGCTGTGGTATGTACAATCGAATCTTTAGGTAGGTTAGGTCATGATATTGCCAAGAAATCGGATGGCAGGAGTTCAAGCTGTCCATATTTTCGTAAATCTACACTTTTGGCGAATATGGAAGCTGCGAAAGGACGAGAAATCGAGTCGACATTGAAAACAATGCCTAGAGCTCAGAACTAATGCCCGAAGAGGAACGAATATTGCACAGAACGGAAGAGAAGAAGAGGGTTTAAAAGTCGCGGAAAGTCGTCGCATGCGGATCCGGTGCGGCCGGGTCCACCACCAGATCCTCGTCGGTGCATTGCTCCACGAAATGTCGTGTGTCGTCGGGACCGCTGACTTTCGGGTACAGCGCTTCGAAAATCCGCGCACCATTTTCGGCCTTGTTGGAAAAACTCGGCGGAATGATCTGGAGAAATAGTAGAAGGACAAATAAGAATGAAAAATTTTTTGAGCTATGGATCTCAACTAGAGTAATAACAGTCTGTCGGGAAAATAATGAGCACAATGTCGCTACGCCGGTCGGTTTGTTGAAGTAAAAAAATGTGATCTTGCAGCGACGCAATTCATTTTCTCGGCGGGGATGCGATTTTCGATGCGACAGAGTGCTTATTATTTTCCCGACAGACTGATAACCAAGCTAAACTAAGCCTTACCTAATCCGAAACTAAGCCTAAACTATCGCTAAATCTGTGTTTTTTGTTTTATGACATTTCTTGTCATAATCTCTAAATTATGACATCTATATGTCATAACGAAATTTGTTAAGCCATAACGACATTTCTTTGTCACAATGACCACTTGTTCTCGTAAGCCCTAAATCATGACGTTTTTTTGTCACAACCTAATTTTATGACATTCTCATGTCATCATCCCTAAGTCATGACAATTTTTTTGTCACAACTCTCCTCGTGGAAAGAAAACTAATCGAAAGAGTGCACATGCGTTTGGAATAGATGACTAGTAGGTACTACCACGTTCGGAAAAGGACAGTCCACCACCGCAAAAGGCCCACGAAATCTATTCTCTAGACATTTTGACATTCTATAGTAAATTTTCGACTGCTAAACTCCCTTTATCTACCGTAATCTTCACTTATCCTCTAGCAACAAATGTGGGGTTGAGCACTAAGGGCAATGGGATAATATTTTCAGATTTTCTTGGGGTTTGGATAAAAGTTGAGACGAAATTCAAAGAACAATTGAAAACAGAGTCCGGGAAAAGAATGTTGACAAAAAACGACAGAGTGTTAAACGTGTGGGAAATCAGGTGAAAACGGCAAACGAAAAAAGCAATCACAACACAAATGGAACACAGAAACACAGTGCACGAAAGCCGGAAACGTCAGCAAAAAGCGCAGTGAACTTTATTATCAGGGGCATTCGGCCCAAGCCAACTCAAACTTCTTCAGGCGGAAAGCCAAAACAAAACCGAACAAAATGTTAGGTAACTACCACCGTTGTCATTTTTTGGGTTAAAACTGGATATCTACATCTACCGCTAGCTCAACCAAAACCGTCCAAATCGAACGCGCCCACTCACCCGTCGCTGATATATCGCGATCCAGTCGGTGGAGGAGAACCAACGGTGGTTCTTGATGTCCGCCACCCCGTTCTTCAGGTTGCCGTAGCGCTTGGTGAGGTCCACCTGCAGCAGGTTCTTCAGCAGGTCCTTCAGCTCGTTGGTGAAGTGCGACGGGAACTTGACCTTGCCCGACACGATCTTCTCGTAGATCTGGATGGGCTGGTCGGCGAAGAAGGGCGGGTAGCCGGCGGCCATCTCGTAGATGAGGACGCCGAGCGCCCACCAATCCACCGCCTTGTTGTAGCCCTTGGAGAGGATGATTTCGGGCGCCAGGTACTCGGGCGTCCCGCACAGGGTCCACGTACGGCCCTTTACGCGCTTCGCGAAACCAAAGTCGGTAATCTGGAATGAGATGGGATTACCGTTGCGGATATATGTACAATAACAAGACGACAAGAAAAACTCAAACTAAATTGGTCAAAATGTTCGGTCATGTTCGGCAAAAAGGAAGGATAAAGATAAGAAAATGCGTTTTATCGGATAGTGACATTACGTTTTGAACGAATCACCAAAAAGGAGAGGGAATTTTTTTCTTCTATTTTGGATTGACGTGGCAACCTCCCTTTCCTCGTAATTCGCTTTTTTATAACCAAAAACCAGGATTTTTGGACAAAAAATTCAACTCACCTTTAGGTAACCATTGTTGTCGATCAGCAAGTTCTCCGGTTTCAAATCGCGATAAATTAAATCTAGCGAGTGTAGGTATTCGAAGGCAAGGACTATTTGGGCAGCATAGAAGCGGGAGTGCGGCTCACTGAAGCGACCGATACGCCGCAAATGTGAGAACATTTCTCCACCACTGATGAATTCTAGTACCATGTACAAGTTTGAGTTATCCTGAAAAGAAACGGAGGGTTAAAAGTGCTAAAAATGGTGTCTGTATTACTGTAATGATGTGTTGTAAAGGTCGGAAAAGGAGGAAGTAATTCGTTGGTTTTTTATTGGTTTTTGTTGCGAAATGTCACGAGATCTATTGGATCAATTTTTTGTTGTTTCTCATTGCGTTTTCGGTCAAAGTTCGGCATAATTTTGATCAAAGAAACTGGTTCTTGCGTCTCCTAAGGGCAGAAACCTGTTTGAAAAATGCTATTCTTGGATTGGCAGTGATTTTTTTCCTGAATAAGAAAAGTTTTTTTTGTTTTAGGTAATAATGCTTGTCGAACTGAAGGTATGTTAATTTTTTTGTGTTTTTTGCTTTATTTTAGGTGGAAAGAGTCTTCGATGCTACATACTAATTTTTTGGGTATCAAAATCGGAAAAATTTGTTTATTTTTTACCGGATTATCAAGTGTGATATCCGAAAATTGATCGAATGAAAAATTTTGCCACAATTATGTATTTTTTTAGTCTGATTGGCTCCGTTTATCGTTAGGTAGCTTTAGAAAAGCAGTTCTCGGCTCAGTGTCTTACCTTGAATGAGTATTGCATGTTGACCAAGAATGGGAAATCGATGGCTTGAAGGATACGTTTCTCATTCAACGTATGCTCCACCTGCTTTAATTTGACGACCTTCTGCTTGTCCAATATTTTCATCGCGTAGTAGGCGTCCGTGGCCTTGTGTTTGACGAGCATAACCCGACCGAACGAGCCGGTTCCGAGGGTTTTGATCCGATCGAAGTCATCGAGCTGAGCGGTGTTCTAAAAACAATCGATTAGTCCGGTAAGTTGTTACCATTTCAAGGCGCTACGGTCTTTACGGTCATAGTCTTTAAAAGATCTCAACAACTTTTGCAAACATTTTTTCGACCCTTGACTATTTTCGTCAATATTTTACAACGCCCGCTCTTCTATGATCAAATAAAAGTTGATGAATTGGGACAGAAATGGTTTCACAAGAAGAGTCGTCGAGAAACCCGTCAAAAGCCCCATGAAAATGCACTTTTTGCGCCTAAGGCTCAACAAAGGACCCAAGCAAACCGAAGAACACCTATGTCGTACATTTTTGCGCTGCGGCAACGGCGACAACGGCTCATTGTCGCTCTCGCACATGGACGTCGTGGGCGAAGAGGAGTGGGACTCGTTCAGAAGCCCGAATTGGGGCATCGTCGCGCACGGCTGATACCAGTTCGAGTAGGCGGGGTTGATCAGCGGTCGAAGGCTGGGTGCGGCCGTCGCCAGAAGCCCGCCAACTTGTCGCGCCGTCGAGATGCCGGGCATTGTGGTGGGGGCGGTGGTCGAGGTGGTTTCGAGGTTTCCGTTCAACCGACTCTTCTCACTGAGTGGGTCTGCGGTTTGTTGACCTTGGCTGTTCTTCTTGGCTCGAGCGTTCAGCGCGACCAGCGTTTCGGCCGAGACTTTCTTGGGCTTGACCTTCTGACCGGTGATGCTCAGAAATACTCGTTTCCCCTCGGCAGAGTTGTTGTTCTTGGAATCCGCTGCACTCGCGGATTTGATGAGGTTCTCGGACTCTGCTGGATTTGGATTGCCGTTTTCCTCCGTTAGAATCTTTGCACTGTGCGAGACGGCTGGCGGACTGTAAACAGAAGCCAAGCAAGTGGAAGTGGATAGGAATTGACCAAAATTGGACGCCAGGTTCCTCGACTTTACCGGGAGATTAATTACGAAATTTTCTTGTAGATTCGCACCCTTGGCGGTGCACGGCGCAACAAAGCAAGAGTTGCGGCCCGAATTTGCGGGGCGACCGTTGAGTTGGGCCAGGAAGCGGCGTTGCCGTGCGATCTCGGGCTCGGATACGGAGCGGGCTCGTTGACACTGTACACTCGTCAACAACTCGGGCGCCCAGGAGGGGCGTTCACGTATGGCTGTTATGATTCCGTCGGAAGGCGACCTACGTCAACTGATCGATCAGAGTTTCCTCTTTTGTTTTCGTTATACCTGCAGAAAGGGGTGATCAAAGAGTTGTGGGCTAACAGGAAGTTTATCGAACTCGCAAGGCAATCAGAATGAAGTTTACAGAAGTCGCAACGTAATCAATGATATCAAGGGCGGGGTTCGCCGAGCTAATTTTTGGCTCATAATGGTCGCATTTCACATGCAAATAACTGTAGCTCGCGTAAACATCCTCTGAAGAAGAATCTAAAGAATTTACAATGTAAAGAGAATCGCTGGTCCCGCATATTTTTACGATCCCCCCTGTAAACAGTCAATCAAACATGCCCTCAAGTGCAGCACCACACTCTTTAAAGGTGGAAAGTACACGCCTTGAGCTGCACGCTAAAACAAGCCTCCCTGATGGGGCCCTAGTTGCGGTAAACACCATCTCCAATAACGTGATGTTCACGCGCAACATACCTCGGCTTTACAATATTTATAAGTCATAGGTGGGGGCCGGAAAAGGATGGGCGAACGGAAGAAGACGTAACGGAGCCGTTCAACAAAAAACGGACACATCTTTGTGATTTAGTGCGAAAACGGTGTAATGGTTGCCTGTGAATAATCGACTTTTGTCAAACGACTTTCCAGAAGCTTTTCGTAACCCGAAGCGCTTTCCGTTCACCGAAAATGTGCGCCGTTTTTAGCTGCTGTTTTGACATTTTGACTAATGACTAATTCCCGCTCAAAAATAGACCAAAAACACCGGAATAATATTCATAATGAGGGCGGGCGTGCAGCTGATCTTTTGAGCTCATAAAAACTACCGTACGCCATCTGGACAAGCAATATTTTTTATAGTATACTATTATCTCTACACAAAAATTAACAATTTACTGATCTCTTAAGATGCCAGACAGTAACCAGCCAGACCAATTTTCGGACCCGAAAACGAGGAAGACAGAAATGGTCGATGTCAATAAAACAAGTGCCGAAAATAGAATGTTTTCCGCCCTTTTTTCTCGCAAAAAACAGCTAAATTTAGACGTTTTGCAATAAAATTTTTTGGGCTAAAATTGGGTCTCCGAAAAGAGTCGTTGGGAACGAAAAATAAATTAGTTTCTGAGGGAGAGCGATATCAAGGGGAAGCGTATGCGCTGGAACTATCGTTTTGATTAAAAATAAAGTGAAACCTTTGGTTGAGGAGCTGTTATATTTCGTTGTAGTCAATGTTTGGAGAAACGCTGGCCACGATTTTGGGCTCAAAAATCACTTTAGGGACACTAACTTCTGCAAAAACAGAAATGTTTTTGCTGATTTTATGTTATCTAATTGTACCACTAGTCTAAAAATGCTCAGACGAAATTCACCCCCGTGGTTTCAAAAAGCCACAGAAACTCGGAAGGCTAAGCCCATTAAAAATTGTTTTAAGAAATGGGAATTTGCTCGGGCAGACGAAACAAAAATAACTTTGGTGGCGAAATATCTCTTCCAGGAACGTGTTTGCGGATAACAAGAGACGGCGGGAAAAAAGGACGGGCTAAATATGGAAAAGGAAGTCATGAATAATTTCGGAGATAAATGACTTTCCCGCCACAATTGTTGTTTGATCCGAATTCGGAAGGAGGTTGATTCTAATGGGCTTGAGTTGGAAAAGGCATCATTTTGATGAGGGAAATGTGCAATGTTAAGCTCTCAGAGTGCCACATAGTGCTCGTTATTTTCCCGACCGACTGATACAGTGTAATCTACCTTGGCAGAACAGCAATTACTGAAAAATTTGGCTCGCATTTCGAAAGAGAAGCCGAGATATTTAGCAGTCTTTGCGTACGAGAGAGTACGTAAAGTGAGTAAAGAAAGGCAGACTAAAAACGGCTTTCTCGTTGATAAAAAATTCAGCCCGAAAAAGACAATCATTCTACCGCAAAACCCAGACGTCTTCTGAACGCAGAAGCAAAGTACGACCGATTTTTAAAGATGCAACGGGTCCGTAACAGACCCATCCCATCGTAGGAAGGAGTCTATGATAAAAAAACGCTTATTCCCATCAGTCGCGCTCAAAGGACAATGTCATAAACGAGCTAAATTTAGAAAGATCGCCCTAATCTATTTTTGATAGCGGCACATGACTCTTCTCTCGCCAAAACGTAAAGCGGGTTCAAAGAGTCGAAAGAAAAAACAGGCTACAAATCGAAATGAGGGCGAGGAAAAGTACCTGAGGAATACGATTATGCCGCGGGTTTTCATTTAAGACGTCTATTTCGGGAAAGCCCCTGAGGCAATTCGCGGCATTTCCGAGACAAACAAGAAAAAAGAAAAAGGGAAAAAGTGCCATACTTGGAACGGGGCCGGTCGGATTGTAGTTTGCATACATTAAGAAATCCTTAAAGGAGCTTTAAAATATCTAAAGACGGCAAAAGCAAAATGTAAATTTTAATGGCCTGTAACTCCACCCAAAAATTATATAATCAAATTCCAAAGCGTCTGTCCAGTAATAGACCTCAAAAAAGGGCGGCAAAATTCTCTGGGACCAAGGGATTCAAGGCCGAAATCACCTGCCCTCTGGCACAAAAATAGCCGGCACTATTTTTGCCTCAATTTCGCTGCCTCCCAAACAACACGAGCGCTTCTATTATTGGGCCGAAAACACTGAGGAGGAAAAAACAAACCTCCCCTCTCCTCTGTGCCCTCAGGCATTTTTCGGGGCGATTCTTTTTTTAGGCTTATAAAATTGGTTGGACTTGAGCAACGACTTTCGAGACAAAAATATCGGTGGGGCGAGTGGAGGAGGAAGGCGGTGGGGTCTCTCCTGTTTCGCGTCGGTCTCGTTTCTATTTTTTGCCTTCCCTGTTTTCCAGCTCCGGCGCAGCCCCGATTCCTCTCTCCAATTCTTCGCGTCAACCACACAGCGAAAAAAAGTGAAGAGAATTTGAAAAGTCCGAACACGTTGAACAAGAGGAGAAAAAAATTTTTTTTTCTCTTTCTATGCCCTCTCTACCACGACCTGACTGTATGCAGGGGAAAGAAATATGAAGCAGGTCTATGAAAAGGTCTTTACAGTCGCCCGATGACGTTCGTGGGCTTCCTGAGGTCATGTTAGACTAAACATTGTAGAAGAATGGGATCAAGGAGGAGGTGAAAAATAAAAAAAAAAGTCGAAATGAGATCAACAACGAGGAGGGTGGAAGGTCAAATGGGAGCCGGAAAAAAACCCACGGATCCGGGTAGATCAACAAAGCAAAAAAAATATCTAGGGGATTTTTACGCGCAGAAAAACGCGATTTCCACTCTTCGAGAAGTTTGAAAGACTATGTCGCTAACTAGAAAAACGCTGTTAAAAATGCCGAAAAACAAAAAAGCTTGAGACAAAGGTTCTAAATTTACCGCACATTACGTCAGGTTTTAAAAGCTCGGAAAAGGATTATTTTTAGCCCCCTGTCATCGGAATTTGTTTTTGAAGTGCTCGTAAAACAATTTCTCGACCTTCTCACGGTTCTTATCAATCTTTGTAGCTCGCTTCCCTCCTAAAGCACTATTTTTTTCGGAGAGGGCTGATCAAACAAGCACAAGCATAATCTTGTTCTGGAAGGTCGAAATTCGACAGTCATAAGGAAGCAAAGGTGGCTTGGAAGTGCTTCAGATTGAACCGAATCTGACTGGGAATGTGCCTAATCTGACCGGTAAAATTCAAGATGACTTTAAGGCGGTCAGAAAGTGGAGAAAGAAAAACACTTTTTGGCTATAACTTTGCTAGTTTGGCGCGGAAAAAAATGATATTTTGTGGAAACTGTACCCTCAAGAAACTGTAAAAAGTTTTCTTGGCGAACATCGGCAAAAAGTCTGAAACGTCGCACTTAGGGAGAGTTCCCTTGTCAAATCAGAAAGGATTTGGCGGTCAACTTGCTTGGCAAATTTCATCCCCAACCCGACTTCTCCAAAGACCCCAAAAATCGCGCTTAGCCTACGGTAGAAAGACGAAAGGGTAGTGCTACGGTAAACTGTCTCATAAAGCGCTTTTAATCATCACGGGTTGATTCTAACACCCGTCAAACCTTGGTCCCATCTCTCTATTCAATTCCATCTCCCACCACCCCGCCCTCTCCGCACTCGCGACGCTCTCTTGCTCGTCGTGTTTAAACATTTCATTGCATTTTTTATGGGGCGAGCATCGCCTCTGTTATTCCTCGCCCATTGTCCGCCGGCTATTTTTAGCCCGCGGCGGCAAGTCAGATGACTGAACGTGAACTGTTTGTAATGAGAAACGCGGCGAAGAGAGCAAAATATGGAATGGATTTCGAAGCTTTTGGAATAAATTTAAGTGCGAAAATTTTGGGTTTGACACGAACTCGGATGACGAGGGGGGTAACAAGAAAAAAGTTTGGGGATGCGTGCATCATGCTCGAAAGGAAATTGCTCCTAGTGGAACGCTCCGATTTTCCTTAAATTTTGCACGAATCTTCTGTCCAGGCAACGCTTAAATTACTGAAAAATTTTATGCCTTTCTCAAAGCGTGCTGGGCCTTGGGAATGTCAGTTTGTCGGGAAAATAATGGGCACAATGTCGCTGCGCCGACCGTGTTGATGAAGAAAAACAATTTGGTTTTTTCCTCGACAAAATAAATTTGCTCGGCAGCGAAGCAATTTTCGATGCGACAGAGTGCTCTTTATTTTCCCGACAAACTGATACAGTATAATCTAGCCGGTTATTCTAAATTTGGCCCAAGCTTCAGCAAACCCTAAGGCCTTCACCTCTAGCATTGCCCTTTTTCTTCATTCCGTTTGCGCCGCCTAATCTCTCTGTCTCCAAAAAGTGGCAAAATACCGTGTTCGAAGCGTGGCCCAAAATAGCCGTTTCGAATGCATTTCGGGCACACGTCATGCGCTGCATCAGCAAGTGGACCGGATATTTTTTAAACTGCCGTGTTTTCATCAACAGTACAAAGGGTGATCGCGGAACAATCCCAAAATTACTTTGAGACCACATTCCTTCCGCGTCATGACGCGGAAGCGAAGTGATAGAAGATGGAAAAATCCACTCGAAAAGGCGGCGGAGATCACTTTAAAAATCCGCGAAATTTCTCGCTCTTATCAACGAAACGATTGGAAATTCATCAAGACGAAAATTCCCCTCGATATCAGTCTGTCGGGAAAATAATGAGCGCTCTGTCGCATCGAAAACCGCATCGCCGCGGAGAAAATGAGTTGTATCGCGACAAAATCAAATTGCTTTTCAATTTAGTGACGCGAGCGACAATATGCTCATTATTTTCCCGACGGATTGAAATTAGTATTTTCATAAAGTTCATGGACATTTGCCGCGCTGTGCACCGTGCATAGAAGCTTTCTATTTTGCATCGTGCATTCCATTTTTTCATGGTTTTTGCACTGTGCATTCAAACTATCGCAGCGGCACAAGCAAGTTTCAACTACGTCGCTGCGACGGCATCAGCGATTTGCACAGTGCGGATGGCTTTTTGAGATTTGCACGGTGCGAAAATTGAAAAATAAAAGAATGCACTGTGCGTTGGCGACAAGCGTGGGAAAAAGTTCAATCTGCACTTTGCAAAAACAAAAAGATGTCCATGCACTTTATGGAAACGCATACTAATGAAAGGTCCCCCCAAACTTTAAGGAAGCCCTAATCCGTGCGTTTTGTCGGTGGAGTGAAGAAGGAAAAAAAGTTTCCCTTTATTTGCGCTTGAAACAAAATTTAAAACGAATAGTAAATAAAGGGACCGCACAAATTTTTTTTTGTCGAAAACCACTCGAAAATAAGCTTGCGCATTGTGAACAACCCGAGGGCAGAGTCGACGGAAATAGGACCGGCTTAGGCCGGGGGGACGGTTTGGGAGAATTGGAGAATGGAAACGTACGTGACTGTTCCCAAGTTCGAAGCGCCAATGATTGGCCTACAATTTGCGGCACAATGTTAACTATTCATAATGCGACTGAAGTGGTCATACAAAATGTGTAATAAAGATGTGTAAAATGCCGTAAACAAAAGGTTTTGCTGTCATGCGAGTTTCGGGCTGGAACAAGACTACAAGTTTTTGGTGATATCAGTCTATAGCCAGAATAATGAGCACTCTGTCGCATCGAAGATCACATTGCCGTCGAGCAAATGGGCTGTGTCGCGGCAAAATGACACTGCTTTTTAAATCAGCGATGTAGTTGGCTCAGCGACATTGTACTCATTATTTTCCCGACAGAGTGATTGAAAAGAGAACCCACAATGAAAATAGGCACAAAGCCGGAGCAAAGCTTTGCGAAATTTTCCAAGGAAATAGCAAAAGTTTGAGCTGCATTTTGCACTAATCACCGAAATTTTTTGAGCTAAATTTGGCAAAATTTTCAACTAAAAATTAATCATTTTCTAAGGGTCAATTAAAAAGTTTCAGCCGAAAACCTTTTCTCGTCAGCGTAGAGCTCTTCATTTTTCGTACTCTCTCGCAAAAACATTGTAAAATATCTCGGCTGCGCGAGCAAGAAAAAACTACCGTATTCCTCTGAATTCCCGCTAAATCGCACCGAAAACACAACACGTGAAATTTGCATAATTACCGTGCTTTTCAATCCCGCTTCGCCTCTGAACCCGTACGCCTCGTTAGGTTCGTAATTAGTCTGGCCGAGGAGAAAACATTGAGTAATAACGAAGCGGTAAACAATTACCTTATTCCTCGACCGCCGATACAGAATGGCTATTGACTCGCGCATTTTCGACGACAGTAAAATAAAAGAAAGCTGGGGGAATTCTCGCTAAGGCTTGTTGAAGTAATTGGAAATGCGAAAACAAGGTGTATTTCCGGCAAGTGCAGAGGACCCGGCTCAAAAACATGCGCTAAATTTGGGAATTTGTTATAAGCAAGCCGGAGGAAGGGCAAATTACATTACTACTGTTGTGAAAGCCGCAAAAAGATAGGGTGGACGGCTAAAGAACAGTAGTTGTGAGGGTTATTTGGAATGACACATTACTTTTGACATTCGTAATTTTTTGGGATCTCAGAAAACTTTTTGACGGCCTAGAAGAGGAAAAAATGAAAAATATTCATTTGTCACGTAGCTCAATCTTCGATTTTGTCCAAATTCAGCACACCAAGTCCAAATAGACCTCAGATCAATCCCTGAAAATTTCAGCTCTCACTTTACAATGGCTGCCGAAATATTAGCCTGTCGGGAAAATAATGAGCCAATGTCGCTGCTGTGATCGTGTCGCTCATGCGAAGAGCAATTTGATTTTTCCGCGAAAAAATTCATTTTCTAAATAAAATTCTATATTCTTTTCGATGCGACAGAGTGCTCATTATTTTCCCGACAGAGTATCCAAAAATCTTTTTTAGAGAGAGCTCGTAAAATAAAGAGAGTCAGCCTGACAAAAACAACTTTTATAAACTAAAAATCCCGGTGGGCTTTCTAAAGCGAACGCTAAAAGTTTCACATATGTCAGAGAAAATATTGCTCTATGTTTGAAGTTAGTTACAGTCACGTCCGATGACAAAAAAGATGGCAACTTGTGATGGCTTAACTCAGCAGCTGTACAGAAGGCTCGTTAAACAAATTCCCCTCTATTTATAGACCAGCCAACCCAAAACAACCTTATTTTCATGCCGAAGACCTCCCGAACGAAAACTGTAGTCGCTAAAACAAACAAAAAATCCCGTTTCTCGAAGCATCGACCAAAAATAAGACGAATTTTTGCTTCAATTCGCGGCCAACAACGCGACCAATCGCTACCGAACGCCTTGAAGCAATTAAACCCCAAAAATAACCCCTCGTAACCCCCTTAAAAGGCGTACGGTATGCGCAAACATTACAGCGTCTGCCTGCGAATTTCACAATGAAAAACCGTTCGGCAACCGTTTTCAGCGAGACTATTTATGGAACGGGGTGTTTGCTTGACGTAAACAACTTGACCGTCGACCAGTACTTGAACTGGGAAGTCAAAATAAACCGTCTGCCGCTGTAGTGTTCACAAATTAACAAAAAAACTAATGCAATTTGGGTGAAAACAAAACCCTCCCTTTCGTTGATAAGAATGTTTGCGCTAAAAATAGCGCTATCGCTGCTATCGAAACGAATTCCTGAAATAACTCGGTTGCAGCTAATCAACTCAGTTGCTTGATAATACAAAAATCGTGTCCGAAAACGTGAAAAAAACGATTTAACAGTGTTCGAAAGATACTAATGACCGTAAAACCGCAGCGAAATTTTTAAAAAACGTACCGATGCCGGATTCTCCCATTTCTGCTTGAAGTCATCGCGGGCTTTGTCCAGGAACTCTTTGACTGAAAATAGAAAAAGTTAGTCAGTTGCAGGAGAGGTGACCAGACAAGGAACTACTGAAGTTTACTATGGACAACACAGAAACTAAAGAGAGGAAAAGATCGAAGAAATGAGTTTAGAGTTGGATGAAAGTTGGCTTGGACTAAAATTATGATTTTAGGAAGATTCTGGGAACATTTTGGATCGTACTTTGTTTTAGCGGCCAAGATATGGCGGCCAAAGTCAAAACTTTGTTTGGAACAATCAATTTCTGGAGAAAACGGTGATTTTTTGTCGAAACCATAGGAATAGCGACTAAAAATTGAATATTTTTTGGGGTTGATTTCCCATAAACAATCTAAATATACCTATTGCTTGGTCGTTTTTGCTATATCCTCAAATTTTGCAAAATCAAAAATCAGCCCTTCTAGTCCAACATACGCCAACTCTGAACTCACCACTTCGACTACATCCCTATAAAACAACAAAATTCGTACAACAAATCAAGGCGGAAAAGACACTTCAGAACCAAGGCGATTACAATTCAACTTGCCAGTCTTGGAGGTTCGCCGGCCCAGGAAAGACATTCTACGAGAAGACGACTACAGAAGAGTACTTTGCGGCAGGTGGGCGGGAACACTTGGCCTTATAACCTCAAAAAAAGTGAGTTGTCTTCGGCCGGGAATGTAAGTCGTCTCGACGAACACACGAAAAGCCCCCCAACACCTTTGTTTTTGTAGCGAAACTCCCCCTCCACACACACATACACAAAGCCCCCCAAATCTCAGCCTCCATATGGCCGATATAAATTGCGAGAAATTAGTCTATTTTTCCGCAAAAAAGGGCTTCATGGCCACTCTAAATTCGCCCCTCGAAACGTGTGCCCCGGCGGGCACGCCGAGAAACAAAGTTTACGGCCCGCAGGCGCTGTCAATTTAAATGCGGAACATTGCACGAGCGCCCGCCACGGTTGACACTCAATGAGAAATTGCTCTTATGGATTTCGTGGGCTCAAGTTGCAATTGTCAACGCTAAAAGCGACACGAAACTGACCACCGACGGCTTAAGTTTCAGCGAGAAATTTTAAGATGACTTGAAAACTTCGATAAATTTTATAGCCATGGTTGCTTAGTTTCGTGTGCCAATGGAGTCTGTTTTGGCGGACTTTGGACGTCAAATAGGTGTATAGGAAATAGTAACGGTCTAAAAAATATATTGCTTGTAGAAAGATTTTAATTTTCTGGCCTGTGGCGCAGTAACTCAAAAAAACCCTGACTTTCACAAAAAAAACTCCCAAAAATTCCCGAATTCTCCGGCCGATAAAACCGGGGTTTCCCACTGTCTAGAGGCAGTCAAATGCAAGAGAAACAGGGATTATGTCCGTCATGTAATCCCGGCCATCTTCCCTCTTCACACACATAATCTACATATGCGATTTTACAGCTATTTTTGGGCGCAACTTGTTAATCCCAGTTTCCAGGAAGGCGAGGGAAAACAGGGTTTAATGTAGAGCGAATTTCCGGTGTGGGCCGAAGGAAAATGCCACAGGTCTTGCTCGGAAACCAATAGCTACAATTTGATGAGGGGAAAATTGAGAAAAGTAGGGGCCAATTGTGCGAATACAAACTGGAAGATTAGTAAATTTTGGGCAGACTGGAGGAAGCAGTGTGAAGTAACTCGGGGGAGATTTATGTACTATTTATTTTCATAAAGTGCATGGACATTTGTCGTGGCCCGCACTGTGCGCAAAAGAGACCACATTTTGCACCGTGCATTCCACTTTTTTCCTTTTTTTCGCACTGTGCATTCAAAATATCGCGGCGACACAAGCGAGTTTTAACCACGTCGCTGCGGGCGTCGGGAATTAGCACTGTGGAAACTGCTTTTTTGAGGATGCACCGTGCAAAAAGAGAAAATTGCACTGTGCGTTAGCGACAAGCGTGGGAAAAAGTTTAAAAACGCACAGTGCGTTGGCGACAAGCGTGGGAAAAAGTCCAAAATGCACTGTGCGAACGCGAAAAAAGTAAAATGCACGGTGCAAAATTTGATGTTTTTTGTGTACGGTGCGGGCCACGAGAAATGTCCGTGCACTTTATGAAAATACTATTAGGTTGATTCAAAAGTTTTTCCACATGTCTTTAAAAAATTTTAAAAAATTTAGACCAAAGCCAGTGGGCCTGATATATATCTTGTTAGAAAGAAGGCTGTTTGTAGATTATAGTAGATTAATAACTTTTTACAACTTAGCAATTTGTAGTAGTAGCGCCGTGTTAAACCTTAACTACTCGAAGGAAGAAAAAGTAAACCGCCGGCGTTACGTCTAGAGTGGCTGTATCTTCTTAATATTCTCGAATATGGTATGCCTGTATGTAATCTCTATGGCATCGAGGACAATTTGCTATAGGGCTAGTCGAAAAATTTTTAGTGCGAAAAATCAAAAATTAGGGTCTGGCAAAAGTAGGCCCTGTAGACGCAGCTATTAGAAGCACTAAGAGATAACGCTTTCTGTTATTGTAGTGTATGAGTAGCACTACAACGCCAATGCTAAACATTCGCGCTAGCTTTACCTATGCGGCAGAAAAATCGAATCTTTTTAATCTACCAATATTTTACGAAATTTAGGGGATTTTTACAAAAACGTTTTCTGTTCATTACTCTTGCCCGGTATCCTAGTTATTTAATAAATAATTGATCCTACTTGACATACACTATCAGTTGCTAGACGCGCTAAGCTGAAGGTCCTCTTGAAATACCAGTAAAAAAAATTACAAAAATTCGCCTAAAAGTGCAGTTTATGCTACTTTTCTACCTTATAAGGCAATTTCAGTTGGTGACTTTTTGAATGTATCATCCGCATACTGTCTTTGTACAACCTGAATGGCAGCCGAGTCAAAAAAATCTAACTCCTTTCAAAAAATTTTTAAAAATCTGCTTTTGATCGGTAGCTCGGCTCTCCGGCCAACTTTATGGGATGCTACAAAAAACGTCAGTGTAGATATAAGTAGAGCAATAAATTCAGAAGAAACTACAGCCATCCCCAGTACGAATAACCCAAAACCCGAGACTTTTTAGTGGGCTGGAAAATTGCTAGGGCCCGGGATATTCACCATGACACAAACGGAGAAATTTTTAGTATTTTTGAAATATTCTGAAAGGAAGCTTGTATAAAATAAAATGCTACGAAGCAAAAATTTTGCAATGTTCTGCCCCATACATCTATGCTTTCAGTTTTAACGTACATTCAATCAGGCTCCAGGAATTTTATTTTGAGGTGTCTCAAAAAAATGTGGAAAAACTTTTGAATCAACCTAATAATAGAGCGAAATAATTCGAGGGAGCAGGGTGCAATAATACCAAGAGATTTTTCATCAGTGTAACATTCAACGAAACGGCCGAGGTGGGATTTAAATCCTGCAAAACCCAAACAATTGTCATGGAAATAAAATGAGCAAAGAATACGCTCTTTTGTTTGCACCGAAATAGACATAAACATGTTCCTCGTGATTAGTATTTATTACGTGGTGCGTAGAGGGTGCAAACACCCTCATTTAAACTTGAAGGTGTTTGAGGAGAGAAAAAAAAATCTTTTTTCAAGCAGAGTACCTTAACAAGGAGATGAAAAAAAAATTGAAATCAGTAATTTAGATTGGTTACCGAGCTGGGAAAAGATACAGAATAGGTTAGACAATTTTGCAGGGATATTTCAGATATCAACGATCTCTATAGAGGAGAGAGAGAGTCTTAAATGTTAGGAGAGATGCTCGGAGAAAAATATTTTTGGCTACATATTTGTGTTTCTATAGGGAAGGGAGAGTTTTTGCAAAAAATTATGATTTTTTAAAATCCTACCCTTTTAACGCATTCCCAGACATTTACAACAAACATTCAATCACAACATCTAGCGAGGACAGCGCCACACTGCACTCTTCATCTACATTCACCATACACAATGGACAGTCTCATTGTAAACTCACAAAACTTAATCTGCACTTTTTTGTTATTCGAAGAGGACATAACGCCGAGGTGCCTCGACGGCCTGCAGAATTCAACCGTTATAATTGTTTTCCGACAGCGTAGAGGAAGTGAAAATTGAATTCCGAATAAAAGACAATAAAAGTGGGAATGTCTGGAGAGATAAAAGTGCCGGAGGGTTTGAGAAAAAAAACCGTTGGAAAATCCACCAAAATTGACGACAGAATTGGGCCTGCGGCAGATAGAGGAATTGTATTTTTATAGTGTGGGCTGTTCGGCTTGGCCCCCACCGACTTCACAAATCATAAAGGTCGTAAAACAAACGATTTCGAGCAATAAAACATGCTGAAAACGCTGCTCCAAGCTTTGGAGTTTTGTTTTCGCCATGGGCCAGAGGAAAAACAACCCGTCCTACGGGGAATTCGGAGACCTTTAGTGGCGAAGAAAGTGATTTTTCGTACGAAAATTGCAAGTTTTGGAAAGGAAAAAGTCGATCATCACGGAGCAAAAGGCGGGTTTTTAGTGTAAAGAATCAAATTTTAGGACAAAAACATACGAATTCGCCTCATTTTCTCTGACATGCCATCAGGGATGCATGATAAACAACAAAGTTCAACATGGTGGGGTTACGAGGAGATACGGGAAATTGTATTAAATCTCTGAAGAGGAAGTTCGAAAGGGCCATTAACTATGGGCTTTAATTCCCGACAATAAATAATCCCAAAGCAGGGAAGCCTTGAATTTAGCTGAAGAACAATGGGAGTGGGTTAAAAATTGCTAGTTCGAAAATGCCGGACCTTCGCGGAGGATATGTCAAGAAGAGCGCCGAGTTTTGGCTTCGGTCGAAAACAATAGTAAAAATAATTAAATTAAGGCCAAGAGATGCAAGTCAAGTCAAAAATAGTATGATGGCGCGCTCTCCTACTATACACTTCCCATCGTCCAAAATACTCGACGTTTTTTGGGGGGTAAAATCGGGCGAAAATGCCAAAAGTTTTGGGGGGAAACCCGCAAACTTTTGACAATTTTCCGCGGGTTTTCACTTCCGTTCTCGCCGCACCCTGCGGGCCATTCGTCGAACGAATTTCCCGGCTATTTTCGGGGGAATTCTACAGACACATTGAGAAAAAAAAAAATGACGGCGCCAAGTGGGAAAAAATGCGAAAGATGCGATGTCATCACACAATTTCGACGCCCCTAACTTGGCAGTTCCGGGCCCCGCATAAATGGGTTGACAAACAGGGGCTGCGTCATTTGTGTTGCTTCCGGAAATGAGATGAATCGCTGGAGGTGATCGTATATACAAAAATCAGAAGGAAGGCCAAGTTCGAGGGGTTTGGGTTGGAAAGAAGCGTGTAGAAGAACTCTGTGGGCTGCGCTCATTTCCGGAGGGCCCCGGGAATTCAGCCAACTGAAAGTGGGGTTTGGCACGAAGAAATGGGGGGAAACCGATTCCGGAATCAAAGTTCGTACATCGCCAACAGGCTAATTAAGAGTTTTTGGGGAGGAAAAAGTGTAGTCTGGAAGTTTTGCAATTTTTGCTAGGAATTTCCGAGAAAAAATCGATGCAAAAAAATCGCAAAATGGTCCCTATACCATTTCTTTCAGCCTACACTTTCCAGTTCACCGTTAAAAAAGCGCTATGCAGCTCAACGGAGTCGTACAATAAATCGGGATGTAAAACTGCGAGACTTTATCATCGCCGAAAAAGAAGTACGCATAAAAAGCCGCGGGCTGTGCCGTCGGATTAACGCCCCGACTACTCGGCCATTAGCACGACATATACTTGACGGTGTGGAAAAATTCGCACGGCCCCGCTCGACCTTCGGCGTGATTCCGAGCGGCGGCCAAGAGAGCGGCCACCCCCCACAAACAACCCGAAAATTGGCTTTTCGTGCCCGGCGAACATTCTTCTCGTGCGCTTTTTTCTCTCCGCCGCTCTGCATCCATCCCTTTTCCCGTTCCCCGTGCGGGGCCCGCTCCGGGCTCATACTGGAATGGGCTTAATAAGGGGAATAGCAACAAGCGAGTAGTGGGTTTTTTGGGCAGAGAGCGCGCCAAGTTCGGAGTGCATCCGTCCGACTCTTTGGCGGGGCGCAGAGAACGGCGAGAACGAGGATGGAAACACGGAGGATGGGTCGTTGCACCACAAGAAATAATAAGCCCAACACACGCATTGTATGTATTATAAATAACATGCATTTCGGAGGGTCGGCTGTTTAAGGGCACAAGTACAAGATGCTACAGCAAATTCTCGATGGCTTGTTTGTCGAAAAAATGCTCTTTGATTTTCGTAGAGGCTTGTGTCAATGACCGAGAGAGTAGAGTAAACAAGGGCTTATGAGGCCAAAAATAGACAAATGACTCTTTAGCTGCACAAAAAAAATTTTTGCCAAAAAATCATAAAAATTTTGCCAAAAAATCGCAAAATTAGGGGTTTTATCATCTGCAAAGACCAAAAATTTTGTGCTGCCTAAAAAGACAGTGGTGTAAAATAGGTACCAGTAACTTTTTTCCCCTCAAAAAAATCCAAATGCCTCCGGAAATTTGCGTTTTTTTCGTCGCACCCAAAAAAATTTGGATGACAAAAAAATTAATTGAATATAACAACGGAAGAAGGTTCCAAATTTTTCGGGATGGCCCCGCAATTTTCGGCTTGGATAAACATGACGGCGCGTGAAGACGGAGGAACGGATATGGAAGAAATTGCACGGCCCCGTGTGGGCGGATTCCTCAAGCCCCAATTTCGGGTTTTGTCTTTTTTTGTTTATTTAAATTAAGGAACAGAGAGGGCCAACTTACCCGTCGGCTTGCGGCTCATGTATCCCATGCGCTAAGAGCTGTGTATGGTAATGCAAAAATGAGGGTTTAGTGAAACGGGGAAAAGGAATTGAGAGAAAATTTGAAAAAGAGAGAAGATCTCCGTTTGGAACGTGAATCATGCCCTCCGGGCATGGAGTTAAACATCAGTGAATTTGGTTGGTTTTTTGATTGTATGAAGAGAGAATTGAAATGCAAAAGATTTCATTCACTTTTGCTTAGAGACTGCGAAATTAGACAAAGTGTCAAAATTGACATTTCGTCCATTTTTTGAAATGTCACCAATTCTGTCGCTGTCTTCTGCCATCAATAAAACGCACTTCAAAATTACCACTACTACTCTGTAAACCCTTCGTTTTTAAATTAAAATTCCCGGAAGAAAAAGAAAAAAAATCTCCCCAAGAAATATCCATCCACTCTTCCGGAGGCCCGAAGAAGTGTCTCCAACAAAACGATGCTACTTACAGCGAGGGTCAAAAATAGACCGAATAGTGTTGTGTCACGCTTTCAGCAGTAAACACACATCATGCACACAACCAACATACGTACCAATTTGGCACTACATACGTGCGAAAATTAAAGTTACAACAACAACGGAAGTGAAAAAAAGAATGCCAAGAACTTAGCAAATAGTGGATCAAAATTTAAAAAAAATGGTGTTTTTAAGACCCTCAGGGACTGTATTTAATCGCATATAATTTTAAATTGCTCAAATCCCCTCAGGCAATTTGACAAAATAACTGAACGTTAAAATGAAAAATTAGCATATTTCTGCTAAAAAATCAGAATTTTTAAGTAGCCCTTTGTGGAAATTGCGACAAATACGGTATAATCTTTAAATATAGGACCTATCAATCCAAAAAATTCAATTTTCTTATTGTTTGATCCATTACTTCCCAAGTTATAAGGGAAAGAAGCCTTCCAGGCCCTCAGGCCGTCAAATCCCGACAGATCCACTCACAAGGATGTTGATGCTGTTGCTGGACCTCCTTACGCTTAGATGCCTGCTCTTCGTCGCGCAACGACGAAGTCAAGTTACGAAATAACATGCTTCACAGGTGAGATCTAGAGTTTCCACAGTTAAAACAACAGTTTTATCGCGCAAAATTGAGGAAAATTAAGCAAAAATCCAATTGTAGGACCAGAAAAACAAAACAAAGTCTTTGGCGGAAATTGGGAAAGGTGTCTCAGGTCCTCGAGGGCACAATAAAATTTCAAAAGCTCTTATACAGCGACTAGAAATTTGTATTTTGAATAAATCTTCTAGAAGGGACGAGTAAACATGTTGGGAGAATTTTGTAGCTCTAGGAAAAGATGTGGTAAAACAATTCAAGCGTTAACCTTCAATTTTGAGGAAAGGTAGGGAGAATTTAAAGCCGAATTTTCTGGTACATACCGTGAAAAGGTTTAGCTTACAATTTGAAGAAATCTCCGAGATTTTTCGAACGAAAATTGATAAAAATCAAATATTTCTCCTTGATTTTAAGTTTGAAAATTTCAAGGGCCGTTACTAGTCCGTCCAGAAAGCTGACTGAAATCGGCAAGGCGCACTGTGAAAAAAACAAAAGTTCATTTCCGTAAACGATAAATTCTCAGGCGCAAAAAACCCTGAGAGTTTATCGCAGCCACGAATTCGGCCGCACCTTGAAAAAAATTATCTGTCGCTGTGAAAAATGGGAATCGCGCACAAAGGCAAAAAATCCAGAAAATATCTCGGCTACCACTGCAAATCGGAAGCTAGATTTTTCAGGGCTTGATATGCCTCTTATTTGCAAAATGCCTACTAAATTTGACAAAAACAAAAAGTCATACATGGGTCGCTTTCCCGATTAAAAATCGATAACTTTTGAGCTACTATCCAACCCTAGTATGAAAGGGCCGTAATCTCTCGGCCCAAATCTTGTTTATGAAGACGAAAAACATAGCCCAGCAGATCTCAAGGCAATGACATCGGGTCCCCAACTCCACAACCAGTGATGTAGACGTATTTCCCCCTTTGCCACCGCTAATCCAGGGCCGTCCACGGACGAGGGCCGCGAAAAAACAAGGATAATTTTGGTCGATTAATCCAGCCGCCTCGAGGCCTCGCCGGTGTATTCCATGAATCCCATAAATCGCGCCCTAATGAATTACAATTCGCTGCACACCGCCCCAATAAAAGTGAATTTGGAAGCTGGGCGCGGGCTCGCCGCAGCCGGCCCTCCATACAAAGTGGGGCCGCCGAAAGTGGAGGGCCGCAAAAATTGGGAGACCACGGATATGCCCCATAATAAGATGTCTAAAGCAGGGTTATTTTGAATGTAAATTTGCTCCCAACAAAAAGTTGAGTGACGGGGAGTGCGCGTGGTTTTCTGGGGTGGAAGAGATATGTTGCATGGAAGTGGAGTTCGGAGCGCCGGCCTCCGCGAAACGTGCCGACAACCAAAGTTTTTTTGATATGAGTACGAAACTCAATCAAGGAGGACACGGTCCATTGGCCGCGCCTCTGAGATGAAGGGTTTGGATTTTTTGCCGCGAAGTTTCGGGTTATATCAGTCTGTCGGGAAAGTCATGAGGACTTTGCCGGATCGAAAAGCGAATCGCTGTTGAGAAAATGAATTGTGTCGCAATAAAATCAAATTGCTTTTCACTTCAGCGACATGTTCGGCGCTGCGACATTGTGCTCATTATTTTCCCGACAGACCGCTAAAATTCCCAAAAATTGACTGATTTCAAATGGGGAAGTAGCCCAAGTATGACTCTTGATTTTTTTTATCTAGTGTATTATATACTCTAATTAGGTAGCATACCAATCCCCAAACATTTTAACATGCGGTTTGAAGCCGCTCCAAAAAAAAGGCAATTTTTCCGAAAGAAAATGAAGAAAGAGGAGAGTTGACCAGACGAAAAACGTCTTTAGTCTCAATCTACGAGGGTTTCAGTTGAAGAAAAAGCATTTTGCTGACTTACAGCCTTCTTGAACACTTAAAATCGTAAAAAAAATCAATTTTAGCCAAATTTTTGGCCCTTAAAAACTCGGGCTTTTCTGTAAAATGCAAGCTAAACCCTTCCAAAATTCCTGACAGAGCTTTACTCTAAATGTATCGCAAGTTTTAGAAGGATCAAAATATTTTCTTTGGAGAAAGATTCCTTCTTCAAAGCTTATGGTACTAAACTCCTTCAACGTCCTGCAAACCATCCCCAAACGCGTCCAAAATCCTTATGAAGATTCTAACGTAAGCCGGAATTTTGCCCAGCCTCGAGGTCTTAAGGATTAACTAATCGCGTCTAATATGATTAAAAACCTACGTCGTTTCCAAAAGCGGCCGGCTTTCCCCCCAATTCCCATCCCCTCCCAATTTGCCGGTTAATATCCATAATTCACTGGCGCACTATTTAAAATTTACTGGCCCCGCCGCCACTCAAAAATTACCGGGGCCAAATTCATTTCTTTTTTGAACAACAACTTCTGTCTATACAAACAAACGTGTATATTTTGCGCAAAGTGCGGCATGAAAGCCCGCGGGGCGCATAAATAACAATCGCGTCGGAACGGGGGGCCCGCAGGAAGAGCGTTATTAAAGTGCCCACCGGGCGTCGGCTCCGTGAAGATAAATCGTTCTCTCATACAATTAAACAACGTTTCCAAACGCCGGCCGAGACATGTGGCGAATAAACCCGAAAACAAGGCCCATTTCAGCAGAAAAAAGAGAGGAGACGGTCGAGGAAGTGCGGGCATCACATCAATTATAGGCTTGTCATCACTTACACACCAAGACACGACACAAGTCCTGCATTAATCCCATAACAAGTTGAGGAAACGAGGGAAAAAAGGTTTCAACCGAGTACACAACGGGTATGATGACTTCCCAGCCAACTGATTGGGATTTGACAAACTCAGCCAAGCAGTTGAGCAAATAATTGAAATCAAAATCTCGCCAAAAATAGCGGAATTCACGAGAGAAGGCATGTGTAATCGATTTTAGGAAATAGTTTCGGAAATACGTTGATTTTGGCAGAGATTTTGCCAAACATTTTGAATTTTTTGCAGATATTTTTGAACTTACATGCGTAGGTCCACAACCGTCGCCGAAAAAAGTCGGTGATCGTCTCCGAGCACAGAATTAGACGGTCTTTTTCGAGTAAAAAATCCAACATGAGTTTCGCATTGGTGCTCAATTTTTGGCAACTCGATTTACACTACTAGAAGCGGGGGGTTACACTTTTAACGACGCGAAAATGCATGTTATCAAGTAATTGTCATTATTTATAAATTTTTGTCATCAAAATCTAATCATTGGAAAAAATGTGGACGAAATGTCAAAATTGACACTTCGTCAAAAAACTCAGGAAAATGTGTCATAATGACAGGTTTTTTGAAAAAAATTGTTGGCACAGTAAAACACGAGTAGCTCGACGACAAGTAATATAATTATTTTAAATTCAAAATTACGATTTTTTGATTATTTCCGGAGCCCTTGCAAACCCATCATAGAGAAGGCAAAAAGGTGGTTTGAAATCTAATTCTAGGCCACCAACGCCAAAAATTTCCCCTCCCTTTTCGTGTAATTACTACCTGTTAGTAATTCATCAGAACAAAACGTTTTTTTTCTGCCGAAAATCGAACTATAAATAAGTCTAGAATCTTCCATTCAAGTTGGCCCCTATAAACGAATTATAAATTTGACCCAACAAAAAACCGAAAACCACGTAGCTTTAGTCATTCTGGAGTTTGTAACAGCCGGCAGTAAACCCATTAAACGGCGCTTTCGCTGCGTCAAAGTCCCTCCTCAACGGCGTACTGGCCAACAAGTTTAGGTGTACCTGGAAGCCGGGGAATGATCTCATTTGACAAATTGTTTTCCTAATCTTTTTTTACAGTCCTAACCGCCTAAACCTAATTACACAAGGGCGGGCCGGCATTTACACCGCGGTAAATATGGGCTATTAGGCTGCTGTTCCGCTTCTGTTCCGCGAAAATTCTTATAGTATGTATTCGCCGGCCGGTACATTACACATGTAATTTGGACCATTGCGGAACTTAAAAAAATGGTGATAAATTGTATGAACTCCATGTTTTCAACAGCTATAAGTTGAGTACAGGTTCTACTGTAGCAAAATATTTTCTCAGCCCTGATGCACAAAATAATTGTGAAGTATTTTTGCTGCGCTGAAATTGTCTTGGGAGCTTTTTTTAATGGTTTAAAAATTTTTTTATTCCCTGAATTTAGCATGGAAAAGATTTAGCATGTAATTTGCAGAAGAAACCGGGATTTCTTGGCCGAATTTAGCAAAAATTATGACATTTCTTTTTGTTTTTTGTTTTGAAAACTTCAGAATTTATTCTTAATGAAGTTCACAATGTTTCTACAAAAAATTATTTTTTCCGGCTAAAATTCGAAATTTTATAGCCGAAAAACTTTTTTATCCGGTATTCTCATCTTCTGCACTCTCTTCTCATAATTCCCGATTTTCTCGGCTGCAAAGAATAAGCTAAACCTTTCAGCGATTGGTCTATGACATACTAGCAGTATCTATGCGGAATTTGAAGAAATTTGAAGGTCCAAATTGACACCATTTTCCTATGAAATGCAAATTTATTCAACGAATTTCAAAAACTGCTGGTTTCTTTTACAATTTCTCAGTCTCAATTTTACGTTCAATTCGAGGCTTTGTGGGCACAAAAAAAATCGCAACCTCAAAAACACGGTTGACCCTCCAACTACGTGCACTTTGAACACCTTCAATTCACTTCAAATTGGTCGCAAAAAAAGCTCCTCAAAGAACTTTCGCCCCCAAAAAAACCCCCCGTTTCCGAAAATACATACATATTGGATAAATAATGGAAAAAGGGACCTATCAACCCGCGCCTACGACTCCCGAACGCCATATAATAATTTGAACAAACATAGCCGTTGATAGCGGCTCCAAACGCATAATGGTTTGTGATTAGACAAAACAAAATTTTCGGATTTCCGTCGCCTTTATTCTCTTTGTTTTCTATTTTTAGCCCGCCTTGGATCAGCAATAAATTCGCAGAAACACGGTTAAAACATGGCCAGAGGTTGGTTAAGAAACGACTTGTCGGAAAGTTAGTTGAGGAAGGACTTTTACTACAAGTTTTTAACGGTTTTTTACGTTGTTTCAAAGGGTCCGACAAAATTTACAATCGAAAAAATAACCATTTCCGGTGTTCCACACCCTAGGACACATGGCAAAAAGTTCCTCAACTTTTAAAGGACCACAAATTGTGAGCATTTGACATGGCTTTTCGACCTTTGAACTTGACTACTGTAACTATGAAAAGAGTTGCAAAATCACAAAAAAATCGGAAAAGTCGCTAAGAACGTCATTAAAAATCGAAATGTCAGCGCAAAAAATGGCTGTAGCGTTGCAAAAAGCGCTCGAAATAAAAAAAATATTTTTTTACGCAAGCTTATCCATCAAAAATTGTCGTGAAGACTTTCACGCACCCTGAGCGCGCCTCCACCCCGCCTTCGAACACTTGACAAACCAGCTCGAAACCTTGAACATGATGATCCTCTAACCCGGCTAATTCCACAGCGCTATGTGTTTGTTTTGTCGGAACACCGGCGGCGGTTGTCGGGAAAACAATGCAACAAGTGGAACGTCGCGCGGCGAACGTTGGGAAATCTTGCGCAGGAAGGTTGTTGTTAAGAGGTTTGTTTTCAGCGAGTTTGTCAAGATTTGCAGCGGAATTGACACTTGGATTTCCTAAGTGATATGGTACCATATCATATGGTATCAGTCTGTCGGGAAAATAATGAGGACTCTGGTGTATCGAAAATTCGCATCGTCGAGAGAAAATAAATCGTGTCGCGACAAAATAAAATTGCTTTCAGCGACGCGATTGCTCATTATTTTCCCGACAGACAGGCTTAAACTGGTCAAATTTCAAAATTTTAACCGATTTTTTACTTGGCGGAAAATCTCTCAAGGAAAGTAAAGCCAAATTTTGGTGAAAACAAAAATTCAAAAAATCCGATTTTGGAAGTTCTGAATTCCTCGCACGCACTCTGTGTGTCTCACTGCTTAAGCACTGAAAATTTCGCACGTAAAAACTGGTTTTTGATAGGAAAGTTGTACGGAAAGTTGTACGGCGGTGTCTGCACATACACCTTCGTATTTTCATAAAGTGCATGGACATTTTTTCTATTTCCGCATGGAGAAAACCTCAAAAAATGGCTGTCTAATGTTAACGAAATCTTTTTTTATTATAAAAAATTAATTTTTTTTTTTTTTTTTCAAAAATTTGATTCTTAAATTTCGAAAAATTTCAAAAATATCACTAAAATTGCACTCTCTAAATCTGCGTAAGGTTCCAAAAAAATCGTAAAGTCACACTTGGAGTGTTTCCATTCAGACTTTTTATCCAGAACTCAATAACAAAACACAAAAGTTGAACTGCTAAACTTTTGAATTCTAAAGAAAATCTCCAAAAATGACCTTGAAATCCAGGATGCTTACATTTTCAGTGTAGTTTCTGATCCTTGAAACCTCAAAAATAACAAAAAAAATATTAAAAAAATTGAATTTCAAAATCTTTCAGTCAAATTCCAAGGTTGTTTGCTATTCAGAAATTTGTAATAATTATTATTCTCGAAATTGGGAGAGGCTGCACCCAAAAATCGGCTAAAACTTGACTTCAAGGGACTAATCTTTCTTTTGCATTGAAAAAATGGAAAAAATAATCTTGACTTGATTTGTGATTGAGCCGCAACTTCAAGATTACTTTTTCGCGTTTTTTTAAAGAGTAATCACGCTGTTATTACAAAAATTGGGGCGGAAAGTTGTCTGCGAGATCCAAAAATAAGTTTTTTTAAGCTTAACGGAGACTGTCTACAACGGACAACTTCAAAGGTCGAAAAAATTTAAAAAAAATTTTTACAGGCTCTTACGATTTGTTGTGCAGAGTTTCGACTGTTCTTATCAGTCTGTCGGGAAAATTATGAGCACTTTGTAGCATCGAAAATCGCATCCCGGCCGTGAAAATAAATTTTGTCGCGGCAAGATCAACTTGTTTTTCACCGGTCGACAATATGCTCATTATTTTCCCGACAAACTAGTAATATTTTTTTCGATAATTTTTTTTTGATGATTAAACTAATAAATATCATACTTGTCGCAGTTCTAACCCAACCAAACAGCCCAAAACCCCCGCGTCGAACGTGGATCAATAAAATGATAATGTCCCCCGGAGGAGGAGGATGGAATAAAACGCTCCTTGAATGCCTCATTCATTTCGAAGTCAATGATTCCGGAATTAAACAGGAAATTTTGACGTATTACACATGCCTTCGAGACCCGCAAATTCTCCATTTTGGGAGGCGAAAGAGAGAGGTGCTAATTAGAAACATCTTCCCAGAAATCCCCCCGCAAATTGGCCTATAAATACGCGAAATCGGATATTTTTGGAATGGAGGTCAACGAGAAGACTGTAATGGAGAATTGACCCAATTGGGACCCTTCGATTTGGCTGAAACTTTAGAGTATTATTGTCTAAGAAAGAGTTGAAATTTTTTACTTGCGCTTTGCAGAAATCACCGAGATTTTTAGGTCAAAAATGTGGGCAAAAAATCATTTTTTGAAAAAAATCGAAGAGTCACATGCGCCCTATCAATAAAAAAAATCGATTGTAAATAGTTATGGTAAAAACAGGAATATTTGTAAATTCCCGTCAGTCCAAAAACTGCCATAAAATCAAAGTCACAACAGAAACACACATAAAATTCGACCACAAACCCCCTAGGCAACCGCCCCACGCTTACAAAAGGTCTGTTCGTTGTGGGCGGCGGCGGCACGTTCCCGGTTGTGGTTGTTGGCCTCCTCCTTGTCCTTCTTCAGAAACTTGAGCATGGCGCCGGCGATCCCTTCACGCGCGGTCCGATGGGCTTGCCGTTCCAGGTTCGTGCGCGGCGCGGCTCCTCTCGTGACCAGCACAACTCTTGTGCACAAATTTTGCCCGCGCGCCAAGCCTCGGAGAATGTTTTCGGGCGGAGGATGGGTGCGGAGAAGAGTGTTGTCCTCGGCGTTGTTGGAGAAGGATGATGTTGTATGACTGTTTTTATAGAAGAGAAAACGGTTAGTTGGTTCACGCGAAACGTTTTATCCGGCACACGGTAAATCGGAGATTTATGAGTAAATGTTTATTTCAGTGGGGAGATAATAGACTTTTAAAGCTGCTGGAATGATTTTTGCGACTTGCACTATGCAAAGAAATTATGGAGACACCCGAAAAGGCTATTGCACGGTGCAAGAAAAGCATTTGTTTTTGCACAGTGCATATCGCTAAAATCATTCTATCGACTCTGCGAACGGACTACTAGTAGAAAAATCATGACTATGCCAAATTCTAGGCCAGACTAGCCTCATAAGAAAGACCTCAGACTATAAGCGATCAATGGGCTTGGGAGAAATCAAGATTTTTTATTTTCCACCTAAAACATGATGAAACTTTCAATTTTCGTCCTTAAAGTGCAGAATTTGCACATTCAACCCCAAAAGGTTCAGTGACGCTGGAGCAAGCTTGACGTGTATCAACGAGTCGGCTAATCCGCCGAATGGAAGAGCAAGTTCGGAATCAAAGTTGACTCGCGTCCCAGCTCGAGCCTCGGAAAGTCCGGAGGGGAAAACCGCAAAAAAGTCGTGGAAACGAGCCGATTGGGACCACGAGAACGCGAAAAAAAACACAATACCCCCCCATCCCGGGGCAGCTGTGTGTGTGCGGATGATTGACATGGAATCGGCGGCACAGCGCTAAGACATTATTATTATTTTTGTTAATGGTTTGTTTATAACAAGCCTGAGGTCCGGCGGGCTTGAAGAAAAAAAAGCCAGACGTGCTGACGTGAAGCGTGAGGCGAAAAGGATAAGCGGCCAAAGAGCGGCGGGACGAGTGATAAAAGAAATTTGGCCAATCTCCCGATCGCTGATAATTACCCGAGTGTTAAGTCGGGGTGACTAATTGATGGTTGTCGTTCCGAAAACAAGGCAATTTGTCATGCAACAACTGCGATTCGAAGGGTTTCGAAGGGTTGGGAATTTACGTTAGTTTTTTTTAAATTTTACCCAATGGGGATTACACGTGAACGGGCTGTTATTAACGGATATCGCGTTTGAAAAAAACGCTTTTAAATTATGATAAGGTTGAATTAAGGGCAGAAAAAGGTGGCGTAGTTCCGGAATAGGGCATTTTTGGAAATGCGACGGCTTGGAAAAGTATACGGAGTTAGTCATAATTCTAGGAATCGGACAACAATTGTCGGTCGATTACGGAATAAGGAAAAACAGTTAAAACCAAATTTTGACGTCAGATGATAAAAAATCCCTCATTAGACAAATACCGATAAAATTTTGGCAAAAAAATGTCATCGTGACGTATTTTTTGGATGCTTTCTCCCGGAAAGCCCCTTTTTGTAGTCGTCGTAAAAGTTCTTGCTGGAAAAAGCCGCAAATAATAGTAATGGGGGATTTGAAATGTACCTTCAACACTACAACATCTAGAGTCCAACCCAATGTACATTTCCACCCGAAAAAATCCGGAGAAAAATCCCATCTACAGAGCGCCTCATGCTCGGGGCTTCTCGGAAAGCCCCGAACGAGTGTAGACAATCCATAAAAAGCGATTTTTATTCGATTCGCCCGACGCTAGGCGTGTAAACATTGCTTGCTTAACAGTTTAACAGTGGTGTCAGAGAAAGGACGTGGCCCTTGTCTCGTCGTCCGTCTCTTTCTCTCGTCGTCGCTCTTTTGGCGCTCGCCAAAACCGCCCCAATTGTTGCCTTTCTTTTTTCGATCAGCCCCACCCGAGGTCGGTTATCAGCGGGCAAAACGGAGGTTATGGAGCTGGAATACAGCTTACAATAAACGGCTGTAAAGCTGGGGAAGTTGCGGCGGCGAGAGAGGAAGTTTGGACAAAATGTCACAATTGACACTTCGTCCAAAATGAAAAAATTTTGAATTTTTCTATAGAAATTATAATTTTAATCTGTCGGGAAAATAATGAGCACATTGTCGCTGCGCCGATCGTCTCTCGCTGAAGTGGAAAGTGATTTGATTTTGCCGCGACACAATTAATTTTCTCGGCTACGATGCGATTTTCAATACGACAGAGTGCTCACTATTTTCCCGACAGAACAGTATTGTATGGCGCTTAAAGCTTGGAGCAAAATTGGCAACAATCGAGAGACTACAGTACCGGGATGTGTTCTTTGAAACCTTTGGCCTCAAACAGTCCAAAACCCCTCCCTATCCTTCAAGGTACTCGAGACACGTTAAGAATTCCCGGCCTCTCTCTTATTTCGGGCTGACGTCCGCGCCTAAATATAGCCTGAGTTTTGAGGTTTAAGGCGAAGCAAACGTCTCTCTTTTTCGGTGTCCAGGTGAAGCCTTCGGTCCACGCACAAGACGGTCCTTGAATAAATTTAAATTCCCTGCAAAAACCCACTGCACGCCCGGCGGGCACGTAAAAAGTAGGCGATGGGAAAGCGGGCCGGCAACCCCGATAAGGGTAATGTATTTACAACTCGTAAGGGGTATTCGGGTCTCAAGTCTGTAATTATAATAAAGATATTGTTCTTTGCAAAACTACAATCTTGGAAACCGGGCTTTGGACATGGGGCAATATGAATACCCAGAAAAATGAAGGGCTTGGACAAAATTAGCGCAAAGAGGGGTTATTTTCCGTATAAGGGATGTGTTTTCGGGTGCAAAACAAAGGAATTCCAAATGTGACCCATCGGTTTTGACGAAAACTTGGCATGTTTATAGTATATAGAATTTTCTAATGAATTTGTGAAACTTTAAATTTTCGTTTTATAAACGTGTTATCGAGATTTTTAGGAAGAAAGTCGGCGAAAAACTTGTCGTACTTATTGGCGTTTCTACAAAAAATCACACTTTCCAAAGAGTTTTCAAAATATTATGCCTAAAAACTTTTTTCTGGCCGTCTCCTCATTTTCCGTGCTCTATTAAAAAGTATCATTAAATATCCGTCTGTCGGGAAAATAATGAGCACTCTGTCGCATCAAAAATCGCCGCCAATAAAATGAATAGCGTCGCGAAAAAATCAAAGCTTTTCGCTTCAGCGACGCAGTAGGCGCAGCGACATTGTGTTAATTATTTTCCCGACAGACTAATATCTCGATTTTCGCAGCAAAATGTAAACTAAAATTTCTAGAAATTAACATGTACCCTGTTTATAACATCCATGTTTATGTTTGAAAAATTCGTCTATACTGCCTCAAGCAATTTTTTCTTTCTCCAAAATAAACCTAATTCTATGTAACATCAAATTCCAAACTTTCTAGTTTAAGTAAGTAACATTTAAAGCGAACTTAAACCAAAAGGGTCACATTCAGAGCTCTTCCCGTATAAGAGGACAAAGAAAGGGCAACTCTACTTACTTTCCGTATGCCTTCGAGGGCGGTTTGGACTTTTACTTCGTGGTCGTACGTCTAAAAATTATATCGCCTATATCCTTCAAAATATATTCTGCTGCCTTACGAAAAACCTCAGTTTGACAAGACAAGTGTACAGCAAAGGAGTGGGGTTTACATGCTAACAAAAAGTTGCGGAATTATGCATGCCGTTGTAATGTACAAAAGGGAGGGAGAGTAAGCATAGCTGGGAAGATAGGAAGGCAAAAACAAGGGGTAAGAATGTAGTTTTGTCTGAAATAATGCGATTAGATCTTGTGCAAATTTAGAATATACATTCTTTCTAGGACTGAGATGAGACTCGAAAAGTTTTAGCTCATGCTTTTCAACGGCGGTCGAGGAAATGAGCAATCTTCCTGAGAGGCCGCAAAATAAGGAAAGTTGGATTAAAAAGGTATTTCTGGCAAACCCCACAAGATTTTGGTTCGTAAAAGCCCGAGATTTTGCATTCCTCGGATCTGTTAACTTATTTTTTTAAGTTCTACTTAAGCAAATCTCGATTTCTTGCCCGCTTTGGACCTAAAAATCCCAAAAGGCTAGATTTGCTCAACAGCGAGTTAAAAGGCTCTAATGCGCCTTAGAAAAGAATAGTGTTGATCTTGATCCATTTTGCATTAAGATCTGATCGTTACCCTACCAGAAACCTCCGTAAGAAAACCCAAAAAATCCCGTCTGACCTAAGCGCCAATTTCCACAGAAAAATGGCCGTTTCGGATGACTAAATCGTAAGCTATTTGGCCGAAAAACTTATTGACCAACGATCATCTAACAAGCAAAAAAGCCCCAATTCCCCAAACAAAAAATCCCAAAAATGAGAAATTGACAAAAAGTTTGCCCCCAACCAAGAATTAATCCCCGCAAACCCGGCGGCGAACAACCCGCCGATAACCGCTCTCGCCGCATATCACACATAAATCAGTGGGGCCGTAGAAGTTCTCGACCCCCCTCTTTTCCCTAAATCGTTTCAATCGCGAATTATCATTTTTTTATGCTTTTGCACTCTCGTTTCATTCCGCGCTATTTCCGCCGCCGCATTTTAATGGCTTTTTGCTTGCTTGGGGTTTCAAACAATCTTTTGTGAGGACGGCCCCATGGAACGAGGGGAGGGGATAAATTGCAGAGAAAGGTAGAACCTAAGGCATTTTTTTGGGGATTAGGTAAAGGGCTTAGCGAAGTGTTGGAAACGCTGTAAAGGCTTTGAATAAAGAGCGCTTAAGCTGGAAAAAATTTTGATTTACGGCATGCTGACGTCGATGAAATCTGACGCAAAGAAATACAATAATGTTGTACAGCAAACCCCAGATATTTGCGCTTTGCAGAAAGAACGAAAAATTGAAAAAATCAAAAAATGGGAAATTTGGAATTTTTTTTTGATTTTCAAATTAATAATTTGAGGTCTCGTTAGAAGTGAGATGAACA